GCAACCTCCTTTGCCCACCGACTTGGGAAGAATCGTTTCAACTACAGGCGGACGAAACTGACGAGGATATCAAAGCGGTGAGGGTCGAGAAAGCAAGGAAGGCTTTCATTATTGTCAAGTCTATGTGGAGATCAACACTCACCACTCAGTATAAGAAATAAAATCCGGATTTTCAACTCCAATGTGAAGTCAGTCAGCACTACTTACTATACCGGATCAGAGACTTGGCGCCACGTCATGAAGGGCACCTCAAACAAACTACAGACCCTCATCAACAACTTTCTTCGCTCAGTACTACTCAAGATCAGATGGCCGGCCAGAAATGATCAGAAACAGGGTGGGATCTCTGGTAGCAAACAAACCAGGAACCGATTGTGAAACAAATAAGCAGGAAGAAATGGAGGTAGGTGGATTGGCTGACCATACTCTTAGGAAACCTTCAAGTGATATTAATAGACATGCCCTCGATTGGAATCCGAAAGAGGAGCGGTGAGTTGGTCGTCAGTGCAAGGGTGACTTGGAGGAGGTGATGTGAAGAGGAGTTTAAAGCATGTGAACAGACTTGGAGCCAGGCAAAAATGTTAGCAGAGAACCAAACGCAATGGAGACGCGCTGCTGAAGCCCTATGTTCCCCTAGGAGTTGAAAGAAACAATAATGATAATAATGTTATTTAGTTCCCAAGGTTTCTCGCTGCTAATTCTTTCTGCAGTATGCAGCCAACCAGCGAAGGTGGCAGCTGTCAATCAAATTCTGTAGTAGCCTGTTGAAAATCCTTTTCGGGACACACAGTGTAAGTTTCTGGCCCGTAGAGAAGAACTGACTGACTACATATTTGTATTGAAAGTTCAAATATCGTTCTTTATGCTGGCTGAATGAGAGCAGAAGATTTCTTAACTGGTTTCAGGTTGATGAAGGCGTATCTTGTCTTTCCAGTTCTAGCTGGCTGACTGGCTCTGACATCTTTATCATTTCTTACAACCTGTAGTTGAAATAATGTTTCCTAGATAAGAGAAGGAAGTAACCTATTTCAAATTTCTCGTGTTGACGGTGATTGGTGCTGTTGTTGGTTGGTTATATATTCATCACTTTCGTCTTCTCCATGTTTATCTACAGTCCTGTCCTCGCTGTCTGGGTATTCTGCCAGTTTGTTGGTTTTCGCTTGCCTACAAGTCTTCGAGTCTGTGTAACATTAAACATAAATTATCCACTCATGAAGTCGAGATCTTCTGGAGTCTTTATCGGTGGTCCATCGTATAACCCAACCCTTACTCCTACAATTCGTTAACTTCCGCATTCTGCCTTTTATCCTCTTTTGTCCCCCCTTAGTTTTTCCTGGACTACTGAACAAAAACTATGCCTTATTACGCAGGATGTTGAAGATTGTCAGCAGGGTAAGCTACGTGCCACTTAACCAGCTTGTTAATATTCTCGTTGACAGGCACATGGACTTATGTGAAAAATGGGTTAAATCCATTCTATCTGTCTAACTCACACCACCCTTTTCATTCACAACTCTCCCCTTGTATCTCATCAGGCAGGTAGACCAGAAACCTATATAGAAAACTATACGCCCGCACTAGTAAATACGAAAACTCATCCATACCCTACTTAGCTCGTGTTTTGGGTGATAAAGAAAGCATTAAGCGTGAAACTTATAACTTATTAAATAGTTAGTAGAACAATTTGATGTCGTCTTTCTAACTCATAGCATGTTCTCTTTTTTTGTTATGTGCTGTTTTGTTTCTCTCTTCCTTACAAACTCTACTTAAAACATTCTTCGTCATTCTTTCACACTGCGTATATCTCTGCCTTTTTTTTATCGCTTACGCCAGTAAATATGCTAGTAAGATCTACTTTTCTAACACCTTCAAACATTCTGTTCACTTTTGGATTTGCTACCGATATGCTAATATGTTGTTAAGAACAACACATTTAAGCGAACAATATTGTTTTCAATTAGATCTCATCAGGCTTAACTCTAATATATATAAGTTTACAAATAAAAATTCAAATATAAACCAATCATGGTGTTTTGTCTATAGGATAATACGATGGTGAATATAGATTGTGCAGTTAGTCATAATAGTGGTAATGATAATATTAATAATAGTAATAATAATACTAATGGTTTTATCAATAATAAGGATGAAAAAGTGATGCAATCTGTGATAAGATGAATGATGAAAAAACACCATGATTAAACAAACAAATGTTCAGGTGGAAGTAATCGATAAAGGCTAGTAAAAACAAATTAACCAATTAAGTAATGTTAGATTGTAAAGGAAGGAAATTAAACACGTTTATAATGAATATACGATTAAGGGATGATAAGAAAGGGGTTGGAAATATAAATAAAGGGTGGTGTAGAAGGGTGTACAGAAAAAGCACATTCACAGGGCAGTACACACACTTCCTTAGTTACGTGCCTATTAAATATAGAAGGAATGTTGTAAAATGTTTCGCTAGCAGAGCAAGGAAGATACGTACAGAGGACCTCTTACAAAAAAATTTGAATATATTCACGATTCCTTGACATTCTTGTTCTTTTTCACACTCTGTATATCTCTGCCTTTTTGTTATCACTTACGCCAGTAAATATGCTAGTAAGATCTACTTTTCTAACACCTTCAAACATTCTGTTCACTTATGGCTTTGCCACTGACCGACATGCCAATATGTTGTTGTCAAAACTAACTGAGACTACCCATAATCTATGTAGAATTTTATTTAATGTTAATGTACTAACTGGATGCAGTATACTGCAGTGAAATGCTGAGAATTCCATTCCGTTTATCACAAGTACTGTTTTGGAATAAAGCAAATTATTATCATCCCTGTCTTCTGCTTGTCTGTGTTCTTCTTTAATAAAGGTCTGTTACCAGTTATCTTACCTTCTCTCGTTAAAGTAGTAGGAGTAGTGCTCATTGTGAGTGAAAGATAAGGTTTCAGTGATAGCAATACCCTGAGTAGCCCATGCTTGTCATTTTGTTGACAGAAGTAGACTATGGTTGACTTTCAAAGAAACAGTTTGGAAAGTCCACTTCCACTCTAAGCGATTTCATAGATTCCTACAACATTTACGTCATGTCTTCTTAATTCGTTTATAATCTCAGCAGCCTTCCTAGCATCGAACATCATATGGATATTCTATGTCCCCAGGCTTACATTTACTTTCATTGGAAGGCTTCTCGAGATTTTTCTCTAGCATGCATCAACATTTTCTTTGATTGTGGGAAGGCAAAATTTCATCATTTTTATAGTATTTTTAGTAGTTATAAAGTGAGTTTGGTTTGCTAGCCAAATGTTCAAATTTCCCTTTTTCGGGCTAAGGGCAGGCTAGGACACTAGACGTAGTTTTGATGTTTTTTTCGATAGGCGCGATCGGAAGTCTCACGAGGTCGATTCAAGGGATTATTGTTTCAGTGTGGTTTCGAAAACAGTTGGCAGTTTAACTCACTCTCAACATTTTATCACTTGAAATTGCCCCCATAAACAATGTGATAGGACCACCATTGTGTAGCCTAGAAAAAAGCTCGACCATTCGATTGCATTTACTTGTAGGGTGGGTAAGAGTATTAAAAAGTAATATAGTAAGGTAGTCAGAAAGAGGTTATTCGCTGAAGGTTTGTTTATCGATTCAACACCATACACACATACAATCTGAATGAAGCAACGCCTACCTACCGGAGATACTCTAAGTGGTAACAAACACACCAAAAGGGAAGTTGAGGAGACAGAAAGAGAGAAAATATTATTATTTCCTTTAATTCCTAGAGGAATATAGGGCTTCAGCCGCCCAAGTCTCCATTGTGTTCGATTCTCTGCCAGAGTTTTCACCTGGCTCCAAGTCTCTCTACATGCTTTCATCTCCTCTGCACATAACCTCCTCCAAGTCACCATTGGACGACTGACTTGCCGCATCCCATTCGTGTTCCACTCGACGGCTTGTCTAGTGATGTCACTTGATGGTTTTGTCAGAGTATGGCCAATCCACCTACCTCCATTTCTTCCTGCTTATTTGTTGCACAATTGGTTCCTGCTTGGTTGGTTCGAGCATTGCCAGAGATCCCTCCTTGTTTCTGATCATTTCTGGTCGGCTATCTGATCTTGAGTAGTACTGAGCGATGACAGTTGTTGATGAGGGTCTGTAGTTTGTTTGAGGTGCTCTTCATGACGTGGCGCCAAGTCTCTGAACCGATATAGTAAGTAGTGCTGACTGACTTCACATTGGAGTTGAAAATCCGGATTTTATTTCTCATACTGAGTGGTGAGTGTTGATCTCCACACAGACTTGAGAGGAATGAAAGCTTGTCTTACTTTTTCAATTTTCGCTTTGATGTCTTCGTCAGTTCCGCCTGTAGTTGAAGCGATGCTTCCTAGGTGAGGTAGGTAAAGGAGGTTGTTGTTGCTGTTGACCAGGAATCTTCATCACCTCTCTTTTCTCTATGTTCACCTGAAGTCCTCACTATCTTTGATGCTTCTTCTGCCAACTTGTTGCTTTTCACTTGCATATCTTCCAGTTTCAGGGGGAAAAAAATATACATAACACAAATTGGTAAACCACGTGCTTATGTGCAACAATAATTCTTGCTCAAAACCTTGTCATTCAGCTATTAATACTGTATCATCCATTGTGTGTGATATTTAAAAAAAAACGTGTCTAGTAGGAAGTGGAACGTCTTTTGAAGTAGTCTCCAATATTCTGAAGACCTTATCACCAACTGTCAACCGTCTCATGATAATATTTCAGAATGTACAGCTTTTTCAATATGACCTTTTCTAATCGTTCTACTATCCATAAATTATAGAAGGCAGCATAGTCAACGCGTTGATGATAAAACTGATGGAAGTAAGGAAACATGCTTCACTGACAAGTAGAACGACTTCAACCTCACATCTCCAGCATAGTTAGATGTAAGCGACTTACTTACACTTAAGCTAAACTATGAGTCATGTATAAATGGAAAACCAGTTCAATAATCGACCATATTCTCCTCACCTGTTATAATTTCTTCAGCACTAAGACGAGACATTTTATCACCTAGACGTGAAAACAAAAAAAGAAATAACAAAGAATAATTTTAAAACACTTGGTCCCATTTATAAATTTGTATAGTATTATCACAAGATGGAGATTATCTGAAAAATAATCTGATGTGAATTGTTGGATGATGACTAGCAGTGACAGAATCCAGGATAACGCGCATTTCGTCCTATTTGGGACTCGTCCTCCACCTGGATGTACCTGCATTCTTCAGTGGGTGATGATGTTCCTACCGAGACTTGAAATCAGTGTCCATAGTTTCAAACACCAAAGCATTATCCACTAGAAGACCACTCGGGCCATGAGAGTCACTCACTGCGGAATGCAGGCACATCCAGCTGTGGAGGACGAGTCCCAAATAGGACCGGTGGAATGCGCGTTATCCTGGATTCCACCAATACTAGTCACCATCAACCAATTAACTTCCAATTACATGTCCAGACATCGCCGAATCATCTGAACAAGAAGCCGACAGATATGTCAACCTGAGACCGAGCACTAATGTTGCTGTTTAAATAACGTCGAATCAATAATAGTGATAGATTACAACTCAATAGCATCAACATAAAATAAGCTGAATGTGGGAAAAATTAGGAAAAATAATATTACAAATTCATGAATTTATAGTCTCTGCTGAAGGCCAGGGCAGTAGAAGTCGCCGTCTTGACTTGCTTCTTTTGAACACAGAGCACTGGTTGTTTGAGGCGAATTGTGATAGCCTCTGCTGTTTGAAGCATGCTGTGCTTCGATGTTTTTGACACTTTATTTGGTACCTGGTAGATGATGGAGAAGGATTCTTCCATGCTGACTTTGTGGCCAGTGTGGACTAGATGGTCTAAAATCGAAGTGTTAATGGTTTTCACTGCACCTTTACTTAGCCATACTGGGAGGTGTTCTCGAGTTTGCACAAAAAATCAAGTTCTTAGAACAACGGCCGATATAACTCGCTCAACCGCAAGCGCAGTTAAATTGGTAGATACATTTGGAAGTGGCTAGCTGGTCAAGGTACTTCATCTTTCAATCGAGGAAACACCACCATTGGTAGTGTAGAAAATACGACGTGTAGTTTACCAGCATTAAAAGCTCTTTGAACTCATTTTCTTAATTTCCTCGTAATTATCTCACTTGGTATACTGCCATTGAGTTGCAGTCGTATGTATAAAGGCTTCGTGTTTACGGATAGCTAGCACTGAAGAATCCTTCTCTATCTTCTACCAGGTACCAAATAAAGTGTCAAAAACATAGAGGTACCGCTTGCTCCAAACAACAGAGGCTATCACGATTCTCATGAAGCAGCCAGTGCTTTGTATTCACAAGAAACAGCTCCAACTAGGCACTACTATTCCCCTGGCCAGCCTTCAGTGGAGACTATAAATTCATGAGTTTGTATTATTATCTTTCCTAGTTTGCCTGTCTGACATTCACTTTATTGTTATGTTGATACTATTGAACTGTCATCCACTGATATGATCATTATTGATTCAATGTTATTTAAATAGCAACAATAATGTTGTTCATAAAACTAATTCATTCATTCACTATAATGTATGTATAACTGTAGAACCTGATGAAGAGGAGCAGGTTATCGAAAAGAGTACTATTTGTTCAGTAAGCATTCTTTTGAAAATTCCGTATTAATTTGTTTATTAGCTATGTCACACAATGAGTGAAACAGTATTATTTAATGGATGACACAATTTACTATTCATAGCCATAACAATTGTAATCACACGACTTTGAAACTTCAATTTTATGGTTTTCTTTGTTCTCCCCTATTCGCCGTCATTGGGGTGGCAGAATTTTCCAGATGTCTGCATGGACAGGTGTTGAATCACTCCTATTGTGGTGAGAGCAGGCTGCTAGCCGATTGGTTGGCACTAATCTACGTTAAGGTCTAGGTCACTAATATGGGCCGTGAGAAAATATGAACAAGCCTGAGTCAACAACCAATCACAGCAAAGTAAACGTGGCAAAATATGATTCGCAGAGAGAACTCTATGTGTCAAGGAATCCCGAAACAACCAATCAGAAGCCTGCGTTTGTCTACCTAAACAACCAATCAGATGACTGCGCTTGTCTATAATAATGTAGTTGAAAGATGTATAAATACGTGTTGATTTTCATAATAAAACGATCTGTTGCCTGGCCCTTGTCTTCTGTTGTTACATTTGGTGTCGCTGCCTACCGACAAATGAAAAGCCTATACCCTGCAGTTTTTGATGGAGACATATGGATCTTCGGGCAGGACTTCAAGGCTTCTGCGCAGTTGAGTGGCGTTCAAGATCTGTCAGCGATGGAGCTGCTACTTGGGACGCTGCTGGGAGGTCGGGTGAAAGCAGCATATGAAAGTGTGAGCCGAAGTATGGACGAATGTTCGACAGGGTCAGGCAAACAGTTTCCAAAGTGGGAAGGACCATATATGGTCACTTCGAGATGGGGTTACGCAGACACAGTCGCAATGGCGAACAATGAGAGGCGCGTGAACGTCAGCGAGCTCCAGAAATGGATACAGCGAGACAAGCCAACGATGACGCCTGCACCAAGTAGATCAAGCCGACTTCAGTCGCACGTATTTGACGGGGGACGAGTGTGGTGAGAGCAGGCTGCTAGCCGATTGGTTGGCACTAATCTACGTTAAGGTCTAGGTCACTAATATGGGCCGTGAGAAAATATGAACAAGCCTGAGTCAACAACCAATCACAGCAAAGTAAACGTGGCAAAATATGATTCGCAGAGAGAACTCTATGTGTCAAGGAATCCCGAAACAACCAATCAGAAGCCTGCGTTTGTCTACCTAAACAACCAATCAGATGACTGCGCTTGTCTATAATAATGTAGTTGAAAGATGTATAAATACGTGTTGATTTTCATAATAAAACGATCTGTTGCCTGGCCCTTGTCTTCTGTTGTTACACTATTACATGTATTTGCTTTCCAGTTGATTCGATAAACAAAGCTTTTGTTATCAATCTTTGCCTACACCCTCTGACATTAGATTTTAAAACTGTCATCTTAGCCCATTCCATCTAGCCTTTTGTATGGTTGTGTGTAGTTGCATGTAGTGCTATAGCATTGATTGTCAATTCAAATACATAGGTCAAACTAGTAGAATAAAGGCAGTCAAACTAGCCGAACATAAAAACCCAGCAGCAAAATCTAGATTACTTGACCCGAATAAGATCTAGAGAAATCTAGAGAATAGTTCAGCTATAGCACTCACCATATACAATTACACACAACCATACAACAGAGTGGGGTAGGGTGACACTTTTGAAATCTGATGTGACAGGAGCCTGTACCTGCACTCACTCTTGCGGGTGAACCGCTTGAAGTTGTTGATAAGTTTGTGTATCTGGGTAGTTGTGTGAGTGCTTGCCGAGGGGTGATGGATGAGATTTCCAACCGTATAATGAAGGCTAGGGTGGCATACATCAACTTGAGCCACCTCTGGCGCCGTCGCGACGTTAGCCTGGCTGTCAAAGGTCGGGTATAAAATGCTTCGGTGTGGGCTGCGCTGCTCTACGCCTGTGAAACCTGGCCTCTCCGAGCTGAGGATGTGCGGCGACTCTGCGCGTTCGATCACCGCTGTCTCCGCAGGATTGCTTGCGTTCGATGGTATCATCGCGTGAGTAATTCTGAGGTTCGGCGGCGTGTGTCTGAACAAAGTGGAGATCACCATTCATTGAATGTCGTCATCTGGAAACACTGGCTCCAGTGGCTTGGACATGTGCTCCGAATGTCACCCCAGAGGCTTCCGTACAGGTCTCTGTTCGCTAGCCCTGAGACGGGATGGAAAAGGCGGAGAGGTGGTCAGTCCATGACGTGGCGTCGTGGGATGAAGGATTTTTGTGCTAGATTAGCATCGGTTGGTGTGTCACGACTCCCTGGTTGGGGTCCGAGAGATAGCTCAAATCGATGGCTCGAAACGTTATCGGATATTGCCAAGAATCGTAATCAGTGGCGAATGTGTTGCGATTTCCTTCTTTCTTCCCTTCCCGATGATAGCTAACGAACACTGTTTGAACTTGTTAAGCATGACTGCTTTCCTTTCAGATGAAGTTCTTTATCCGTTTTCTACTTATATTTTTTTCTTTTCCTTCTTTTTTCCTTTTGATCTATGTTGTTTTATTATTATTGTGTGGCGCATCTTTCTTGGTGCAATATTGTACCAAGTTTTTTATGCGTTTAAATAAATAAATAATGTGACAGGGTGGATGGAGAGATTGATAACGCAGACTCTGTTTATCCAATCAACTGCAAATCAACACGTGTAATAGGAATGATTCATCACCTGTCCAAACAAATATCTGGAAAATTCTACTACCCCTACGACAACAAATAGGAGAGAACAAAGAAAACTATCAAACTCAAATTTCGAAGTCGTCTGATTATAATTGATGAAATGATTATGAATAGTAATAAATTATGTTCGAAATTGTGTCATCCAGCAAACAGTAATACTGTTTCACTCACTGTGTGTGATACATCTAATAAACAAACTAATATGAAATTACTTACTACCACCACAGTGCCCAAGTTTTACACATATATATTAACATCATTCATGCAAGCTGGTTACGACTATCTTCCTCGCATGTAAGACTTATATGATTCTGGACGGAGTTCACTCTATCCAACTGACGACCTGCATCTTCATGGTCATCGTATATCATAAAAATATCATTTGCATATATACCTCCTATAGAAGAAGGTCACTTTAGCAATTATTAATTCAAGGGACAAGTTTTCAACATAAGACATGTAAACAGCCGCTAACAAACGTCCTAATGTATTCACCAAAGCAACGCTATCCACTTGTCGTAGATGTTCACCTTCAAACGTAAAATGGACGTTGTCAGTACATAATAGTAATAAATCTTTCAATTAATCAAAATAGAAATACCAAAAATTGAGAAAACAGAAAACAATAGTGAAGTGATCACTCACTTGGCTGATCACAATATTGACTAGCTAATGCACAATAATGTGGTTGAATTGATGAAACATTACCTAAATGAGATTAAAACAAGGAGTACATATATATATATATATATATATATATATATATATATATATATATATGAGTACATCTCAAACAGAAGATCGCTTGACAGACACAATTGTTCTATTCACTTATGCCTTTCAGTGTTATGATAAATTAATTTTATTTTCTCTGAGTTACATTTTATTATTATAACTACTACTACTACTACTACTACAGGTTTGATCGCGAGTACTGAACAGTCGTTTCGTCCTAGTTTGGGACTTTTCAGGTGTCCTCACCTACCATTGTTCAAACCAATGGCATTCAATTTGGGAGGTAAACTTTTAGACCATTTAGTCACTGGTACCCTTATCAATGGTCCATGAATTCCAACTTTTGCCAGTTTGTGAGATATATGGAAAAATATCCAGGCAGCCATAGATACAGCTGTAAAAGCTGTGAATAAGGTAAACCCAAAGGTGAGTAAAAACCACTGGATCTCCACCGCCTCATCCGAACTGATAGATGCTAGAAGACTTATTCCGGCGAGCTCCGAATTCAATGAGGAGCGAAAGCTGCACAAGAGGAAACTTACGAAAAGTCTCCGCAAGGACCGTGAACAGTGGTGGGCGACAAAAGCCAAAGAGATGGAGAAAGCTTGAGGATAGGCAACACCAGGCAACTCTTTGGACTCATCAGGGAAACGGGTGGGAGAAGACAAATCATTAGTGAGACAATCTCGGAAAAAAATGGCACTATAATTAGCTCACAGGATAGACGACTGGATCGTTGGAAAGAGCATTATGAGGAGCAGTTTAATTTGCCCACAGCCACGCTCAACCTTCCGAGCATCCAACACCTCCCTGAATGGGATATAGACACAGGTCCTCCGTCACTAACTGAGGTTACTAAAGCTGTCACCAATCTGAAACTAGGCAAAGCAGCGGGACCTGATGGAATGACTCCAGAGGTATTTAAGTACGGTGGAGACAGCTTACTGTCCGGATTAACTGAGGTACTAGGCAGCGTCTGGGAATCAGAAGAAGTCCCATCGGGTTGGTGTAAGTCACTGATTATCCCCATATACAAGAAGGGAGACAAGTCTTCCTGTGATAATCACAGAGGGATTAGCTTGACTAATATAGTATCTAAAGTCTTAGGCTCAATAATCATGCGTAGACTGAGTGGTGCTCGGGAAGCACAAACACGAGAGAGCCAGGCAGGCTTTAGACCAGGAAGAGGGTGTATTGATCATATCTTCACCCTCCGACAGATTCTAGAACATAGGCATTCCTACCGGCGTCCAACAGTCATTATATTTCTTGACCTAAAGGCAGCATTCGACTCTGTCGATCGGGAAGTTCTCTGGAGATGCTTGGCTGTAAAGGGAATTCCAAGAAAATATATTGCACTGATTAAGGCACTCTACTCGTACTCATACAGCCAGGTGAGGGCTTACGGCGAGCTGTCATCTGAACTGATGACGACCAGTGGTGTCCGTCAAGGATGCCCATTATCTCCTTTTCTATTCAACTTCATCATAGATGTGTTAATGGACTTAACCCTAGGTGACTTCAGCGACTCAGGGATTGACTTGCTACCGGGGAATAATCTCGTTGACTTGGAATATGCAGACGATATAGTCCTTCTAGGCGAAGACGCTGACGAAATGCAGAGTCTTCTAAACACCTTGAGCCGCAATCTACGAATGTTTGGCATGCGATTCGCTCCCGCCAAATGCAAGATGATGTTACAGGACTGGACTACATCGACGCCTAGTTTAAAAATAGGAAGTGAAGTGGTAGAGCACGTTGACCGCTTCACTTATTTGGGAAGTACCATCAGCCCCAACGGGCTGATCTCTGACGAAATCTCAGCACGAATACAAGGGGCTCGTTTCGCATTTGTTAGTTTACGCCGACTCTGGCGTAGACGAGATGTTCGACTATCGACCAAAGGGCGGGTGTACTGCTCATCAGTCCGCTCCGTCCTCCTTTATGGTTGTGAGACCTGGCCACTGAGAGTGGAAGACATGAAAAGACTAGCTGTCTTTGATCATAGGTGCCTGCGTTCTATTTCCCGTGTAAAGTGGCATAATAAGGTGAGCAACATGGAGGTTAGGCGTAGAGTTCTAGGTAAACAGGGGAAATCAATCGACGAAGTCGTGAAGCTACAAAGACTGAGATGGTTAGGACATGTGTTACGTATGCCAAGCCATCGCCTCCCTCGACGAGCAATGTTAGCGGATATAGGGTCAGGCTGGAAAAAAGCTAGCGGCGGTCAAACAAAAACTTGGCATCAGTCAATGAAATCCACAACAGTTGGTCTAAGCCACGTAGGAAGGTGTAGACTTCCAGGCTGGGGTCCTCGGGACGGTAAAAATCTATGGTTGGAAACAATTGGTGACATGGCTCAAAATCGTTCTCAGTGGCGCAGATGCATCCACTCCCTGTGACTTATGATCTTCAATGAAACTGTTTTGTATTTCTTTATTACTCCTTTGTCTCACACCTCTGCTCACTGTTTCTATTATGCTTTTCTTGTACTTTCTTCTCTTGCTTCGCGTGCTACACGGAATGTGGCGACTTGAACTTCCGCACATTTGTGCAAAGTTCTATGTCGAAAACAGACAGACATAGAGCCCAGTCGCTTGCCAATGTCATAAGTGAGCAGCAGCTTTTCACTTAATTGGCTGAAGACAATCGGTGATATGGGTAAAAATTCATCGTTCTCAATATCTGTCGCAGATGCATCCACTTCTTGTGACTTATAATTTCAAATGAAACTACATTGTTCTTCAATATTACTATTCTTTTTGCCGCACATCGCTGTCTACTGTCTCTATTTTGCATTTCTTTTCACTTTCTTCGCTTGCTTTGTATGCTACATGGAGGGAGTATGGTGACTTGAACTGCTGCACATCGGTGCAAAGTTCCATGTTGAAAACAAATAGACAGACAATTTAATTGACTTGGTGGTCCCCTTGTTGGTCACAACCTCGCTATATATCCATGTCTTGAATGAGCAAATGCTGAAATTCACGAGCCATTGAAATGAGTCTAAATGGCTGCATGGTCTACGAGTCTGTCTCGCAACCAGAAGGTTTTGGGTTCTATTCTATGTGGGGTTAGATCATTGGGGCATATTACTGCAGAGTCATAAACTAGGACAAAAAACTCTGCAGTACTCTCTCCTTGGTTTCCTATTGGCTCGTTAACTGATTTGTCAGATCGTGGCGAGACCCATGACTAATCAAATCCCTGTAAACCAACGCTTGTTTACTGTTATTATTATTAGTAGTAGTTGTGGGGGTGTTAATTATATAATTTAATATAATATAGAATAATGACAGCTTTATTCTTAATGACAGAACGTCTACCTGGCGTACCGAACTCTCAGCGTAATTTTTAGGGTATACGTAGAAAAATCAACCTCCGTCGGTTTCACATTAAAGTTTTAGGTATGCCTAACAATTCCACTTGCAAGGTCATCAGTTATACTATTATTATTATTCTTTCCTTGGGTTCCACCTGGAACATAAAGCTACAACTGCACGTCTCCACTTGCTTCTGTCTTCTGATGTACTTTTCAAATGCATCCATGCTAGTTAGTCCATACTCTTTCAACTCCTCTTCACACGATCTCCTCCATGTCACCATTGGACGTCCCACACGCCGCTTCCCTTTCGGCCTGGTTCCACTCGAGCAATGGCCTGATGTGGGCGCGATGTCAACAAGCGGCGGCCTCCTCAGCCGCGAGTGTCCAATCCATCTCCACTTTCTCCTGCTGTATATTTGTTGGTTGGCGATTGCGTCTTGTTTTGTTTGTTCCCACCCATAGTTTCTTGTTGGTGATTGTTTCCGGCCCGGCCATCTGATTGATCTTCAGTATAGATCCAGCGAAGACAGTTGTTGATTGATAAAGGTCTGCAACAGGCTGTTGGAGATATTGTTTGTGACCCGCCTGCCAAGTTTCTGATCCGTATAGAACAACTGACTGACTTGACGTTGTTTGTATTGAAAATCCGACTGAATTTTATTGTTGATGCTGGCTGAGTGACGAAGATTTCCAGATTGGTTGTTTCAGGTTGATGAATGTGTTTCTCGCCTGTCTTCCCGATTATCGCTCGATTTGACATCCTCGTCCGTTCTGACTGCATGTAGTTGAGACAGTGCTCCTTAGATAAGTGAGTGAATGAAGTAACCTCTTTCAAATCCCTCCCGTTGATGGTGATTGACGCTGGATGCTGTTGTTGTTGGTTATTTTCACAACCTCCGTATTGTCTATGTTCACCTGGAGTCCTGTCTTCGCCGACTGCTTCTTCGACCAGTTTGTCGGTTTTCGCTTGTAAGTCTTCGATCTTGTGTGACATCAAACATAAATCATCTACGCGTGAAATCCATGTCTTCTAGGTTCTTCACGTCGGTCGGTCCAGGATATCCTGTCTTCTCGTTTCCCACTGTCTGACGCATAATCTAGTCAGTCCACCACAATTAGGAATATCATTGGTGATAATAAGTACCCTTATCTGACTCCTGTGTTTACTCCAAACGCCTCGATGAGTTTTCCGTTGTGGATCACTTGACATGTGATTGTGTATTACAGATGTTGATCAGTTCTACTGAAAAACAGATATCAACCAAAAGCTTCAGAGAAGCAACTACAGCTTGTATGTCACTGAAGAAGTCATAGTCAACCCGCCAAAACAGGGGCCTGTTGACATTATCCCATGACGCCTCCCCTTGAGCTTCAAGTGAAATGTTTCAGACCACGTTCGACTTCTACATAGCTTAGCAGTTCTGTGACAACATCGGAGTTCTTGAGAAGCCTCCTTACGTGTTCAAAATCAAATACCTCTGATACTAGCCGAAGGAACTAGAGTGGTGACCAAAGAACTAATGTTTACTGAGGCGAATTCACACAGACACGAATTCAATAATATTGCAGTTTACCAATACAATCATCCCGAGTGAGGCATCTTTTGTTTTGCCTCGTCTAGAAGCTATTAGATTCTCCTCAGAGATGTCAACTGTCTGACTTTTCTTCGTCAGTAGCTTTTTCATTGACATACATACACAGAATTTTTGATTACTTCTCCAAATACGTTACTTGAAACCACTGTAGTTACTGGTAGTTGTTGTTAGTTGTAATAGTGTGGTGAGAGCTGTCTTCTAGCCAAAATTGTAGACAACAATTTACGTCAATGTTTACGTCCCAAATCGGGTCATGAGAAAAGCAGTAACAAAGCTTAACCTTTAGGAACTCAACAACCAATCACAGCAGACTTAACGTGTGCAAATACGATTCGCACGTCATATGGCTTGATTTTCTAAGAAACGGCCACAAAGAGATAACAGAATAACCTTCAGCAAAAAAACAACCAATCAGAACACTCTGTTTCTCTGCTAATAATAACGCTAATAATAATGTACATAAAAATCTACAAATATCTCCTGATTTCCTCAATAAACGATCTGTTGCCTGATCCTTGTCTTCTGTTGTTACAATAGTAGTAACAGAGAGCTGTTATTTACAGTGTAGCAATCCAATGTATATACAAATATACAAATCTTACATTTTCGAATATATGACCCATCGATATCCGTCCAAAATTCTGTATTACATGCTTCAACAGTTTGAGCTAGATTAATAGAAAATAGAAAAATCTGTTTATATAATATTACAAATAGCAGAATTAAATGTAGATCAGACAAAATGTTTGCAAGTGTGAAATCGTTAAGCACCTGATCGTCGTGGATTGTAAAGAATTCGGTGTTTATTTGCCTGACGTACAAAAGGAGAAGAAGTATCAAAAAGAATCGAGGAAGGCTAGCTGTCTTTGACCATAAGCGTCTGAGTTCTATCTACATCCTGTGTTATGTGACATTATAGGGTGAGTAATACTGAGATGAGGCATTGGTCGAGTGTTGGGTAAGGAGGGGAAATCAGTTGACAAGATTGTTAAACTTCTACATCGACTGAGATGGTTAGGATAGTGTGTTACGCATGCATTCCTAGCCATCCATCTCCTTCCTCGGTGGGCAGTGTTAGCTGACTGAAATAGGATGGATCATGTTGGAAAAGAGCTGGTGGCTTCATCAGTCAACTAAATCTACGTACTGCTGAGTACTGATGAAGAGTCCCAACTAGGACGAAACGGCTGCCTAGTACTCCCATGTTTTCCAATGGTTCTCTCTCTCTAATGTCAGCTCATGATAAAATCCTGAAATCTAGATTTTTGATTGCACACTAGTGAGTAACTAGTGTAATGTGTCTAGTCCTATCTTCGGTGCAGACTGAATTCTATAAGTCAAGCTTGAAATGTGGCCACCATGCTAGGTGGCTCGCCATTACGGTGCACTGTGATTTGTTGGTATTAGATGGTTGGAGGCAAACGTGAACCTGAATAGCTCAGTGGTAACGTCTCTGACTGCGGCACTGGGTGACGCGCGTTCGAATCACAGAAGGGACATGAGTTCCTTCTGGGTTACCAATATGCTCTGCTGACTGATGAGTGCCAACTAGCACGAAACCCCGGTCCAAGGTTTCCTGCCGATAGCCTCCAACCATCTTATACCAATTAAATCTATAACAGTTAGTTTAATCCGACCAGCCATGTGGGAGGTGTGAACTCCTTGGTTGGTTGGGGTCCTCGGGATGGTAAGAACCAATGACGGCTGCAGACAATTGATGATATGGACCAAAGTCATTCTCAGCGGCGTGTGATTTGTCAGTCATATCCAATAAAACTCTATTGTTCTTAACTATCACCATTATTTTTCCATAAAATTTTTATTTATTATCTCTCTTTACTCTCGATAAGATGGAGAAGATTTGCAGCTGAGGTGGATGATTTTGGTGTGGTTGTGTTCTCTGAGCTGGCTGGATAGTTAATTTGCAAAGCTTTCATTGTCCCACTCACTGAGCAACATCTTCAGCGCATCCTTCAATTTGAAGTGAAGTGAGCCTTGAGATTTCTCCACGAGTTCACTATTAGTCATCTCTCCTGGTGAGTGGTGACCTTGAACATAGTGATTGGTTGTTTTTGTGTGTTTTCACACCTTCTAGGTTACTTGTATTGGTAATGGTACTGATTGTTTCCTTGAGTTGAACTTTGACCCTTTGGGTGTGAGATTTCATTCTTATCAGTTGGTAAATTTTGTCTATCTCAATGTGCATACTGGTCAATTATTCAATGGAATACCAGGTTTCTAAAAGTTCTCTAGCATTCTTGTTAGAGAGAATCTAAAAGAGAAATCTGAAAGCTCATTTCAAATTGAAGTACGCGCTGAAGATGTCACTTTGTAGTGTGATGAAAGCTTCGCAAATTAACTATCCAGCTTAGAAAACACAACCACGTCAAAATTTTAATTTTAAATCAGCAGTCCTTTTCACAACCACCAACTTTTTCCTGAACTTTCCATCACATTAGGTTAGGTATAAAAGCACTATGGTAATTCAATTATTTACAGGATTTCATCACGACATTAGTTAGAGAATCATTGGAAAACTGGGGAGTACTGGACAGCTTTTTTGTAAGCCTAGTTTGGGACTATTCAGCAGTATGCACCCACACCACGGGTTCGAGTCCACGACCTTCTGGTTACAGGCGAGCTCGTATACCATTAGGCCACTTTGACCTGATCCAATGGCCCATGAATTCTAACTTCTGCCATTCACGCCATAGCGCGACCGCTAGCCAATGTCTTCGCTGGCGAGTATTTGTCCTCACACCCGACCTGCTGCACCCTACTGGTCACGACTTCCCACTGGAACCCAGGTAACTACCTACCTGAATAAGGCCAGTTGCTATTGAGCCTCTCATTGATATTCAAGTGTTGGTTTGTAGGGATTTGATTGGTTACAGGATTGGCAGAAGTTAGAATTCTTGGGCCATTGGATTGGGTCCAAGTGGCTAAATTGTATACGAGCTGGCTGAACTTGTAACCAGAAGGTCATATACTCGAACCCCATGGTTTGGATGCATATTGATGAAGAGTTCCAAACTAGGACACAACAGCTGTCCAGTACTCTCTGTGGCTGGTTTTCCCAATGGTTCTCTAACTAATGTCAGCGCTCATGATGAAAATCCTGTAACCAATCAACCAAATCCCTACAAACCAACACTTAAATCAGATTATTATTGCTGTTATTATTATCTTGTATTCGTACAACCTGTTCCGCTATTACGTCCTCTGTTTTGGGTAAAATAAAGGAAAAGGCATTCAACGAAGAATTTTACACGTCCTTTAAGTGACATCATTTTCAAGAATCTACAGTCGCCTAGAGATATAATAAGTTGTCTCAACAACAAAGGATAATTTTCTAAAGATGATTTGTAAAGATTAGATTTGGTTTTTTTTACGAGTTTCACCACGGATTTATATCAGTTAGATATTCATTGAAAACCATCACTGGAGTACTCGACGGCTGTCTCGTCAGTCTAGTTTGGGAATCATCGACAATAGGCACCCACTAGTGTATACCAGCTTGCCTTGCAACCGGAAGGCCTTATGTTCGAACCGCAGTGGCTGGGTACTTCTGATGAATCCAAACTAGGCTGACGAGATAGCTGTCCAGTACCCCTAGTTTTATTAATGGTTCTCTAACTGATATCAAATCCGTGATCAACTCATATAAGGAATATTCCCAAAGATGTGTCACTGGAATTGCGAATTTTAGATAACAAATTTATTAATGCAAAAAAGCATTAATCGGTAAAAAATAAACTAAAATTGAATAATGAATTGATGACGTAATGTAGTTGACGCAGTTGAGTAGAATTCAACGTGATTTGAACGAGTGTCAAGTTAACAACAATGGCAATAAGGACGGAGATTTAGTAGGGTTTGGGGGAAGGATAAGCTTCCAGTAGTATTGGATGGATGATTTCATCATGAGCTGACATCAGTTAGAGAACCATGGAAAACCTGGGAGTACTGGACAGCTGTTTCGTCCTTGTTTAGGACTCTTCATCGGTACGCACCCACACCATGGGGTTCGAACCCAGGACCTTCTGGTTACAAGACAAGCGACCTCGTAGACTATTGACCCACTGGGACCCAATCCAATGGTTCACTAACTCTAACTTCTGCCAATTCACGAAACAGCGCGACCATTTCGCATTGTCTTTTTCTTCGATGAGTTACTGCCTCATCTTCAACCAGCTGCTGTACCTACTGGTCACGGCTTCCAGTATTAGTCTCATCAATGTGCATCTACTAATTTGCCTGCTTGTGTGGTGCTGGGTATGTTGTTAGTACCCAGTGTTTGCTATCCAAACGTATCATCGAACACTTACCCAGTCATGGCTTTATAAAGGAGAAAAAAGTACCCTCACCCTAGAAAATCTATCCATCCAATAACACCTGATTGAATCTGGACACTAAGTTCATTTACAAATAAACTTCACAGTTATGTACAAAATACATGGGAATCTTGCTAGACGAGGGGTACAAATCTAATTTCTTCTTCGAACAGAGCAGAATCATTGACAATTCACATAGTTAGATTTGGAATTCTGCATACAAAATAAGTTTGTTGAGTTATTCAATCTACAATGGATCTGATTTGTCCTAACACTGGATTTGTAATTTTTGGTTTCTTAATTTTTTTATTTTTGCCCTTCACCCAGCTCCTGTTAAATTTCTACCTGCTTATTATCATTGTTGTTAACTTGCCACTCGTTCTCATTTTAGCTGAATTCTACTCGGTCCCGTCAATTGTATTAATGTCACTCTATGGACTTATTTAATCTTAGTTTCGTTTTTATACGATTAACACATATTTTCATTACTTAATTTGTTATCTGAAATTCACAATTCTAATGGTACATCTGTGGATATATCTCTTTTGTTGCTGAGACAACTTACGGTACATTAATGCGATTGTACATCTCGCTAACGATATTGCCGAGAAGAAGCCTAACTCTTCATGGAATGTTATTTTTTTTTATATGACTCAGTGAGAATCCTAAAGTTCCTTTGTTTTTCAAGTAATTTTTGAGGGTTACATTAGATACACAAACAGACTGATAAAAAGTTCGAAACATGGACTAACAAGATGAGAGATAGACAAGTTAAATCACTGGTAAAACGTTTTGCTTAATTTTCCATTTGTTTTGTATACGACACTTAAGAGAACAGAAAAGAAATATGTATAGATGGCTAAATTATTGAATTGTCGAGTCAAAATTCAGCTTTTGAGCAGAGTCAATTATTATTATTATTCCCTTGGGTTCCAAGTGGAACATAGTGTAACAACAGAAGACAAGGGCCAGGCAACAGATCGTTTTATTATGAAAATCAACACGTATTTATACATATTTCACATACATTATTATAGCTTATGCAAGTAGACAAGCGCAGTCATCTGATTGGTTGTTTATCAGAAGTTAGGCAGACAAACGCAGGCTTCTGATTGGTTGTTTCGGGATTCCTTGACAAATAGAGTTCTCTATCTGCGAATCATATTTTGCCACGTTAACTTTGCTGTGATTGGTTGTTGAATCAGCCTTGCTCATATTTTCTCACGGTCTGCTCTCACCACAATAGGACTTCAGCAATACATCTACACTTTCTTCTATTCTCTTCCGTCTTCGTTAACCAAGTTCACGATTGAACATAATCTCTCATCTCCTCCTCCAAGTCACACGATCTCCTCCATATCACCCTTACACCAACGATCCAATTGGATTTCACTTAAGCAATGGCCTGTCTGGCGATGCCATGTGATGGTCTCCTCAAAGTGTGCCCGATCCATCTCCTACCTATCTGTTGAGCAATAGGCTCTTGGTTAGTTCATCACCTCTCAAAATTTCTTGTTCCAAATTCTTTTTGGTCGGCTGACTGGTCATTTGATTTTCAGTATGGAGCCAGCAATGCGGACAGATGTTGATAAAAGTATCCAGTGCCCTGCTAGAATTCCTTCTCGTGACACGACGGCCGAGTTTTTAACTCGTATAGAAGAACTGACTGACTGACTGATTTCACATTTGTGTTGAAAATTCCAATCTTGTTCTGTATGCTGCGAAGTGTGCAAGATTTCCAAACTGGTTTCAGGTTGATGAAGGCGTATCTTGCCTTTCCGATTCTGGCTGGCTGGCTGGCTTTGCAGTCTTCATCCGTTCCGACTGACTCTGATTGAATAGATGTTGCCTAGTCAGATGGGTGAAGGAAGTAACCTCTTTCAAATACCTCCCGTTGATAGTGATTTGTGCTGTCTGTTGTCGCTGTTGCTGTTGGTTGGTTATTTTCATCACCTATATCCGTCTTCTCTATGTTTTCATGGAGACTTGTATTCGCTGGCTGCTTCTTCTGCTCGTTTGTTGGTTTTCGCCTGTAAGTCCTCGATTTTGCATGACATTAAACATGAATCATCCACCCGCAAAGTTGAGATCTTCTAAAGTCTTCTTATCTGTGGTCCAGCCTATCCCTGTTTACTCACTCTCCATGTACAGTCTTCCGCATTATCCAGTCCGCCACAATTAAGAATATCACTAACGGGTGGTAACAGCCAGACTGCCAGCTTGTCTAATTCCTGTCTACACTTCAAAGGTTGGCATCACTGAGTTTTCCGTTGTGGACCACCTAACACGTGATACTGTCATATAGCCATCCATCTATTGAATGAGGTTGATAAAGAATTAAGGCGCGCCATAGTTTTGAAGCTTATGTTTTTTAGAATTTTTAATATATTTATTCGTTGAAGTTTCTGTAGCAATTTGGTTGTTTTACAGGGGTGGAGTTGCTAGCACCACGCCCCAACCCTCCCTCTTTATCCGGGCTTGGGACCGGCTAGAAAAGTAGCAAGCTAGTAATCTAGCAACAACAACAAGAGCAGAAACATCCAGCGTCAATCACCATCAACGGGAGGGATTTGAAAGAGGTTACTTCACTCACTTATCTAAGGAGCACTGTCTCAACTACAGGAACGAAGGAACGGACGAGGATGTCAAATCGAGCGAGAATCGGGAAGGGGAGAAACACATTCATCAACCTGAAACCAATCTGGAAATCTTCGTCACTCAGCCAGCATCAACAATAAAATTCAGTCGGATTTTCAATACAAACCTCAAGTCAATCAGTTCTTCTATGCGGATCAAAATTTTGGCGGGTGGGTCACAAAGAATATTTCCAACAGGTTGCAGACCTTTATCAACAACTGTCTTCGCTGTATACTGAAGATCAGATGGCCGGGCCGGAAAGAATCACCAACAAGAAACTATGGGAACAAACAAAACAAGACGCAATCGCCCACTAACAAATATGCAGGAGAAAGTGGAGATGGATTGGACACTCGCTGAGGAGGCCCCTGGGTGGCATCGCGCGTCAAGCCCTTGAGTGGAACCCGAAAGGGAAGCGGTGAGTGGGACGTCAGTGCAAGGGTGACATTGAGGAGATCGTGTGAAGAGGAGTTGAAAGAGTATGTACTAACATGGATGCATTTGAAAAGTACAGCAGAAGACAGAAGGAAGTGGAGACGTGCAGTTGAAGCCACATGTTCCACTAGGAACCCAAGGGAGCAATAATAATAATAGTTTTGAAGCAGTTACCAAATTACTTCTTGGTCAACACTGTCGAAAACCTTCTCGAAGTCTATGAAGTTAGACACAGGTTTGACTGTCATTCTATGCTTTGTTCTGTGATGTTGACGATGCTTACAACTGCAATTTGTGTCTAACCGGATGCATATCTGATGACGTCGCTGGTGCTTAAATCACTTGGATCTAGGTAACAAACACTACTTATTAATATGAGTGCTATCAATCTACTCATATCATTCCATTAGTAGTATATGCTGTCATATCACTAAGTTATGTCTATTGATGATATTTTGTATTTTAACAATCCCATAGTATGCGAGATTTCATGGGTATAAGTAGACAGCGAGAGTTTACACTACCACTTTAAGTGTATTAGAATAAACATCATTTTTACGTTGTTTTTTCATTGTTATAATGTATAAGCAAGGAAATATTATTGAAACAGTTATTAAGTCTTAAAATTTAGTTTGTAGAGATTAAATTGACTTCAAGTTTCACTACGGATTGACATCAGTTAGAGAACCGCTCGAAACCAACAGGCCAGCACTAGACATCTGTTCCTGTCCACTTTGGGATTCGTCATCAGTACGCATCAATAACCCAACTGACAGCGGTCAAACCCAGGTCAGTTGTGAGATCAATTATTCTCCGATGACATTTGCATGGTTGTCGCTTTCGAAATCGCGGACTGTTAGAAATTAGAATTCAAGGGCCATTGGATTCCTTCCGAGTAGATAACTGGTCGATGAACTCGCATTGTAAACTGAAGATCCTAAGTTCATTCCATGATTAGTCTACGATTGGTGGATGGCGGCTAGCAGTGGAATCCAGGATAAAGCGCATTTCGTCCTAATTGGGACTCGTCAGCTGGATGTACCTGCATTTCTCAGTGAGTGATGATGTTCCCACTGAGGCTCGGACCCAGTGCCCATAGTTTCAAACGCCAAAGCGTTATCCACTAGACCACTTGGGCCACTGCTAGCCGACATCCACCAATTGTATACTAATTAAATGCCCAGATATCGTCGAAGCATCTGCACAAGAAGCCGACATGTCAACCTGAGACCGAGCACTTCGGTCCAATCAATCGACGGGAAAATCGAAAATTCAGTTCAATCATTCCATGATTGTTGGCCATTTTGTTAATTGTTGAAGAGTTCAACACTTGAAAGCTGAAACGGATGGCCCATATTCCCCGCTGATTATCAATGTTTCTCTTCACTGATAACAATCCTTGGTCAAACTTGAAAGCACCAGTTGTATTGAATAAATACGATTACCATTAAATATCATACACTTTATTGATTACTTACTTGTTTGACATTTTAGTATGCCATCAGATGGATCACATGGAGTGGAACATAATCTTCCTCTTAATGAATAATACTGACGATATGGCCTTTGAAAAAAAAGAACAAGATAAATTTGATTAATGCAACATTTTACATACTACTGTCAGATGTATATAAGTAGTTGGAGTAATTCAACACAAAAATAGTTTCAAACGCCGAAGCGTTATCCATTAGACTGTTTGAGCCACGAGAGTCACCTCTTGTGCAACGCATCATATTAATTATTTGATTCAATTTTAGATTTTCCCGTTGATTGACAGGACCAATCAGAAATAAAGATAAAACTTGGACACTGTGGTAGAGTATAATTCCATTAAGGATAAAATCACACAGTGCTATACATTCATATTTAAATATCAATGAGATGCTCACTGTCGACTGGCCCAACTCAGGTAGATAGTTAGAATTCGTGAGCTATCGGATTGGGTCCCAGTAACTGGTGAATGGTCTATGAGCTCACTAGGCTTGTAACAAGAAGGTCCTGGGTTTGAACCATGGTGGTGGGTGCGTACTAATGAAGAGTTCCGAATTCGGACGAAATAGCTGTTTAGTATTCCAAGGTTTTCCAATAGTTCTCTAACTAATGTCAGCTCATGCTGAAATTCTGGAACTAATCAAATCCTTACAAACCAACACTTGAAAAAAAAACAGTTTTATCAATTTCGGCTACTTTTTATCAATCTGCGTCCATATAGTACTAATAAATCTTGTCAGTAGCACACGCCACAAATTGACTTAGCAATTTTCTAGTACCACTAGCTAACAGGTCTCGGTCACCAAAAACTGCATAAATTTCAAAACAAAACGTTGCTTATTTTATCTATCCAAGTAACATCGTTTCAACTACAGATGACAAAGATGACAAAGATGTCGAAAACAGCCAGGGTCAGAAAGGTGACACAAAACTTCATTACTCAGTATTCCCTATGGCGGGGTCTACTCGACTCAGTATAAAGACCGACATTTGGATTTCCAACGCTGATACCATGTCGATCAATGTTGCTGTATATCTTTCAGAGTTTTGACACAAATGTAGCCGACAGCATTTCATCAAACAGGCTTCGAACTTTGATCAGCAGCTGTCTTCGTCCGATACTGATGATCCTATCTTCAGCTAGAAAGCCTTAGCCAATCAACCAAGAACCTACGTACCGCCCAGCAAATTTTACCAAAAAGATGAAAGTGGTCTGAACACACACTGAGGAGACTTTCGAGTGACGACAAGCGAGCTAGGCTGTCGTCAAGTGGAGCCAAAAGGACAGACAACAAGTTGATAATCCAACATGCTGGTATGGGGAAGGTCATGTATGAAGAGGAGGAAAAGAAGAGAAAGGATTAAGGATTTCATCATGATCTGATATCAGTCTGAGAACCACTAGAAAACCTGGGAATACTGGACAGATGTTTCGTCAGTCTAGTTTGGGACTCTTCATCAGTACGCACCCACACCACGAGGTTCGAACCCAGGACCTTCTTGTTACAAGCCCAGTAAGCTCGTAGACCATTAATCAGTTACTGGAACCCGATCCAATGGCCCATGAACTCTAACTTCTGCCAATTCACGATATAGCGCGATCACTTCACAAGGTCTTCTTCTTCGATGAGTTACTGCCTCATCTTCAATCTGTTGTACCCTTACTGGCTACGGCTTCACACTAGAACCACAGGTTAACTGCCTGAGTAGAGCAGTCTCAGGTTGAAGATGAGGTAATAACTCACTGAAGAAGACATTGCTAGGTGGTCGCGCTATGTCGTGCTTGAAGTGGCAGAAGTTAGAATTCATTAGGTGGCCACTGGGTCGTGTCCCAGTGGCTTAATGATCTACACGCTAGCTCACCTTGTTACCAGAAGGTCCTGTGTTCGAACCCCGTGGTGTGGGTACGTACTGCTGAAGTGGAATCCCAAACTAGACTGACCAAAACACCTGTCCAGTAATCCCTGACTTGTTTTCCATTTGTTCTCTAACTGATGTCAGCTCATGATGAAATCCTCCATCCAATCCAACAAAATACCTACAAAACCAATAGTTTAGAGATAGAGACAGATGACAAAAAATAACCGACTCTAGTGGAGATTTAATCACTGAAGCCGTGAATAAATTGCAATAACAAGTTAGAACCAAACTTTAAAAGAAAAGGAAGAAGAAAGCGTAATTCAATACTTGTCGTTAGCAGGATATCTTGGTAATATAAAGGTTGGATGATATGGTAGTTGATATTCACTTGTTACATAAGATGATGCCGATAATGAAGGCCTTTTATTGTTTTCATCGTTCATACTACTCACAGTAGTAGTAGTAGTAGTAGTATTAGAGATAGTAGCATTAGAAGTAGTACTATTACTACTTATATTATTAACAGTAGTATTTGTTATATTTGTTCCACTGGCGTTAACTGTAGTAGCTTCACGATTTCTAACGCTCACAGTCTCTTCATATCCACAGGGTTGAAGCATATGATCAATAAATCGTTTAGTCTTTTCAAATGATGGACCTATTATTTCATCACTTGTCCAACTCATAATCTGAGAAAAGACGAAGAATAAAAGCAAAATGGGATGAAAGATATGAAATAGTAGTTGGGCTTTGTAATTTACTATTCGACATTAAATTCTGTTATCAGACATCTAAGAAAACCAACCCTCTTTAGAGAAGTTAATATGAACTGTTGTTAGTTGGTTATAGGCAGTCAGTAGGCAACAAGATGGTCTGCTTTGATCTTGATTGCTTGTGCTTATTCACATTTGTCAGCCAGCAAGGCAGTGAGATTCAAACCGCAACAAGGAAATAACCAGTCGTATGACGCTAGTTTGGCCCATTTTATTTCTCTCTGATACTCTCTTATTTGTACTCTATAGTGAACAACCTTCTTAAACATACTTAGCTACTTAAAATTATTATCATTGGCTTACTTTCTTTTGTACTTTATTCTATTCCTTCTTTTGTGTATCTACTGGTTCCGACTATATTAGCACTATGAGTATCACAAACTTGTCCTGTCATTAACCATCATGTAATATTAGTTTTGTGGGTGTGTTTTTTGTTCGGCACTATTTAACTGACAATCTTGTTTGTGAACGCCACTATCACCATCTTTTAAGAATCTTATATTACGCAGGATTACTCACACTACCACAACAAACACCCCAATAGTGCTAACAATAAAAATAAAACACAACCTGAAATGTTTATTTTATGATTGTTTAGTGTAGTTCAACCAAATGAACTGATTATCTTGCCTATAAACATTCCTAATAACATTTCATAACTTCTTATATGATTATAGCTGTTACTGTTCACCACACGCATACACATATCATAGCTTCCACTACCCAATACTGAGATATTATTTATTATTGGTGTTTATCTTTCTTTCTACTTGGTATTTTTTTATTTGCATTTTTTGTTATCTTTGTGTTTCTTTTTGGCTTTTGTTGTTTTTTTATACATATTTTTTTTTGTAATACTCCTTTTAAATGTGCCATGAAACTAGATGCAGTATTGTAGATATGTACTGAAAATTCCACACTCTACCACTAGTACTGTTTGTGGAATAAAAGCGAAATTATTATTATTATTATCATTATTATTATTCGTTACTACCCAAAATGTTCAATCAAAATACTGTTAGTCCAAGTAAACCTCATGTCTGTTCTGACATACATTAAATATTTTGATAAATGCCAACACTCATACAGTATCAACAGTTTTACCATATAAAGGAGGTCAATTTAAACGCTATGTTATACATGTCCAAACCAAGTTCACTTTCAATGGTTTAAAAAATTTGGGTATTGGGTGGTATATGATATTCATTATAATTAAAGGTTTATTTTGTATTTCCCAATGAATGAATGAAAAACAAAACGATATTGCTGTTGCGTTTACTGACGTTTCGCTATTTAATGCTACTGCTAACAGCTTTATCAAAGTAGTATTATTAAACCGGAATTTACAAAATCCACTCAGCTTATCTATATAACAACTTAATCATTGTCGTTCATCAGTATAGGGTCATTTTTACGTTGTCAAGTTGGCCAATTGGTAAAGGTAACAAAACCAGGTGTAGATGACTGTTGGATTTGGTAAGTGTGTAAAATTAAAATAGCAGTGTTTGTTTACATAGTAAACTTGCATATCACATTTGTGTTGATTTTGTCATTTAACGGGGGAGAATAAGGGGTGGGGTGTTGTACCTAAGTCAAATTCTTTTTTAGTTCATTCTTATTCGGATTTGGATTCCACTTGATGATATGAAGTGCTTCTGATGATATTAGACGTTCTTTGTGATGTCTGAAATGCTTTTTCTGGATGATGGTGATTTCAATATTGTCAAAATCAATTTTGTGACCTGATTCTAAAGCGTAGAATGTAGACGACCTATGGTTGACGGTTTTTCAACCTTTTCTAGTTCAGCTGGAGTTGTCGGTAGTTGGTCGAACAAAGGAGGCTTTACAGTGTTCATTTCTTCTGATTTTGATTTCTCGCTGGCGATGATTGTCCTCCGATGTGTATCGCATCACATTCTAAGCAAGCATTTTATTATATAGACACAATTAGATAGAGAATCTTTAGGGATTTGTTCTTTTATATGGACAAGTTTTGTTTCATAGTATGTCTGATGTTTTGAAGAAAACTCTGATGTCGAGCTTATTGAGTCCTCTTCTGATATCGTCTAATGTCTCCACTCTATTTGGAATGACTGACAACCGCTGAGGTCCATGTTTTCGGAATATGTTTTCGACCCTACTTAATGTCATTGTTCTTGCTTTATTCAAATTCATAGAGGGGGAATAAATCTATGAGGTTAAATATATTATCTAGCTAGTTTCTTCGTCTCAAAGACACTAAATAATTATTCCTTACAATTGGAGTAAATATTGAGCTACCAATAAATAAAAACTATCCTTCCATGAAGCAATGAGAATGAGTTTATTTGGGTGGTGGCAACAAGCAATGGAATCCTTGGCGGAACTCGTCAGCTAGATCGGCCTGCAATCCCCAGTGTGTGAGTGAGTGACGGTGTTCCCAACGTGGAGTTAATTGCTTCAAACTCCAAAGAGTTATCCGCTAGACGACTTGGGTTAGGAGAACCACCTTGAACTTTCTTGCCCATTGATTGAACCGAAGTGCTCGGCCTCAGGTTGACATATCCCCTAAGCTCCTTGTGCAGATGCTTCAACAACGTTTGATTATCTAACTTGAAGTAAATTTGCGGATGGTAACTAGCAGTGAAATTTTAACCTGAACTCATCAACTAGAGGTTCCTGCAATCCCCCAGTCACGCTCAAACCCAGAGCTGATTGTTTCAAACATCAAAGACTTATTATCTATTAGATCACTTTGACCACCGATTCGTCGAAGCATCCGTATTAAAAGCCAACATTGTCAACAAAATTCATCACAGAATTCAACAGAGACAGCCGAAACTACCCCGTGGTTGGTTCTGTTCTAATAAATCCATCCATTCCCTTACGGGTCAGGGCATAATTGCATGTATTAGTGTTATGTAATGCTGCTGAGTGAGTTGTTAGAGTTTTCCCCGTCGCCAATTATGTTATTTACTCGTCGGTTAGTTAATAGTCCTGACGCGGAAAGATGGAGGAATCAGAAGACCATCAGGTTTACGATGATACTTGTATTTTCCAGACAAGGAAAATAAATGTCACACAAGTGTGTGACTGGAAGGGTACTTAGATGTACGAAATGTGTGTGAACAAGAGTGAACAAGTGTCTAATACAAAAGTATATATGAATGAAATGGCTAATACACATGAACCAATAAATAGCCAGTCTTAACATGGCTCTTAACTCATACAATTTTGTTTATTCTACTTGTTAATACTTGTTTTATGACTCATGATTAGACAAAGTTTTTAAAAATAAGAGATGTTCCTTTTATATATATAAACCTCTGTTATGTTAATTTCAATTAATTTCCCTAAAGAGGTTCGGACCAGATTGCCGAACGAAACGTTGGAATTACTCATTTTAATATTTCTGAGATTTTACAAATATAATTTTTTAACATGATTGGTTGTAATTTCATGTGACAACAAGGTTATGCATTGTTTATTTAGTTAGTGGACAGATAAAAGCATATTGTCAGTTATAATGAAATATCGATCCATATACACATACCAAAATATAACAGACCGTCAAAAACAAAACACACATCATGTGGATACATATCAATTAGCTCTAGAATTACTACAGTTATCCATGTTGTGTATATATGATCTAAGGAACTATAGCTGAGTTAATGAGCCATTCGTAGTTTCACCGTTTTAAGGTATGTACTTAGACATGCATGGCTTCATCTCTGAGACAAGCATATGACTACTGGCAGGATCAAACAGTTTATTCGCACAGTGATACACCCATTGACTGGGAATTGGTTTTCAGGAGAAGGAAACACACCCATCCCTGCCTCTTACGAGACGAGACCTGCATGCAGGATCATCCTGTGGCGCAACCACTTGAGAGCCTTCTCCCTCGGTGGACTATTTGCACCGTTATTATACATAGTAATGCATAGGTAAGCATTGTTACACCGATTATTGATCGCGTCAATCAATCATGCATTGCATAGACAAGCATAATAGAACTCATCCGCATACAAGACTAGCCAAACAAATTTAAAAAATTCAAGTGTTGGTTTGTAGGCATTTGATTGGTTTCAGGATTTCATCATGGGCTGACATTAGTTAGAGAACCATTGGAAAACATGGGAGTACTGGACAGCTGTCTCGTAAGTCTAGTTTGGGACTCTTCAGCAGTACGAACCCACCGGGGTTAGACCCCAGGACATTCCTGGTACAAGGCGAGCTAGCTCGTATACCATTAAGCCACTGGGACCCGATCCAATGGCTAGTCCATGAATTCTAACTTCTGCCAGTTCACGACATAGCACGACCGCTAGCCAATGTCTTCGCTGGCGAGTATTTGTCCTCACACCCGACCAGCTGCACCCTACTGGTCACGACTGGCCCTCTTCAGGTGGGTAGTTACCTGGGTTCCAGAGGGAAGTCGTGACCAGTAAAGTGCAACAGGTTGGGTGTGAGGACAAATACTCGCCAGCGAAGACATTGGCTAGCGGTCGTGCTCTGTCGTGAATTGGCAGAAGTTAGAATTCATGGACTGGCCATTGGATCGGGTCCCAGTGGCTTAATGGTATACGAGCTAGCTCGCCTTGTACCAGGAAGGTCCTGGGTTCGAACCCCGGTGGGTTCGTACTGCTGAAGAGTCCCAAACTAGACTGACGAGACAGCTGTCCAGTACTCCCATGTTTTCCAATGGTTCTCTAACTAATGTCAGCGCTCGTGATGAAATCCTGAAATTTAAAAAAAGCAACAAGTGAATTAGCCAACTTACTCGAGCTGTTACATCATCAGTTGAACTATTCAGCGATAATTGTCTACCTTGACACCGATGAGAGCTTTCAAAACTCTCAAATGTTTTCTCATATTCACCAAGTCGTGTATGATACTTATATAAGTGAATTCTTTGTGTTGAACCTGCATTTTTTTGATGTATACGTTCATCATAATGAGTTACTGTTTCACCCACCAGCGTGTAAATCACACGATCACTTGTTTCCAATAAATCTGGTTCCGTTTTTAGAAGATTATAATAAGCACGTTTATTGTATGTGAAGATTAGTCTATCGGCGAAACCGTCCAAATTGAATCGAATCTATATATATATATACACAAATAATAAGAGTAATGGTTTCTTTCTTTCATTAAAAGGATTATTTTAAAAAATGCAGCAATGACATTATAAAAGTATAAATGGATAGTAACTAGCATTGGTATAATCCAGGATAAAGTGCATTTCGTCCTATTTGGGACTTGTCGACTGGCTGGAAGTACTGTGGAATGCAGATATATCCCGCCAGACTCGTCCTTAAATTTTCAGTAACAATGGTGTTACCCTGTTTTTTTTTACGGAGTGGACTTGCTAGTCTCACGCCTCTCAACCTTCCCTCTATATCGGCCTGAATAATACTGGAGGCTAAGGGAGATTAAGGAATGCATCAATGGGAGATTTGAATTCCAGACTATTTGCCGCATAGTTGGCGTATATTTCAAGTAAATTTTGCATAAAATAAGAATAAGACTCTGAAAGAAGCAACCTCCTTCACCTACCTACCTGGAAAGCATCATTTCAATTACAGGCGGACGGAACTTATCAGGATATCAAAGCGTGAGGAACGGGAAAGCAAGACAAGCTTTCATTACTCTCAGTCTGTGTGGACATAGACACTCAGCACTAAGAATTAAAAATAAAATCCGGATTTTCAACTCCAATGTGAAGTCAGTCAGTGCTACCTAATATACGAATAAGAGACTTGGCGCCACACCGCGTCTAAAAAGCCACATCGAACAAACTACACACCTTCATCAACAGCTAACTGTCTTTGCTCAATACTACTCAAGATCAGATGGTCGGCCAGAATAGATCAGCAACAGCAAGGGATCTCTAGCAGTGAGCTAACCAACCCAGCAGGAACCAATTTTGCAAGAAATATGCAAGAAGAAATGGAGGTGGATTGACTGGCCATACTCTGAGAAAACAAACCATCAGGTGAGTGACATCACACGCCAGGCCATCGCTCTCGAGGGGAAACCGAGTGTGAAATGGCGAGTTGGTCGTCAGCGCAAGGATGACATGGAGGAGGAGGAGGTCATGCGAAGAGGAGGTGAAAGCATGTGGGTTTACGTGGAGCCAGGTGAAAACATTGGCAGAGAACGGAACGCAATGGAGACGTCCATCTGAAGTCCTATGTTCCTCTAGGAATTAAAGGAAACAATAATAACAATTAGTGTGGAATTCCGCTTTGCTCAGCACACGAAACAATATCTGGATCTTCAACCATAAAATCGAATCACTCATTCCATGCAGTTCAAAGACTTGGCTCATTCTCCAGCAAAATCATTTCAAACGAGATCCGGAAGACATTTATCCATACCTATTTTCGTTGAATCAAAATTGAATAGCAGGTAGGCAGACTCTGACGAATAGCAAACCAACCAAGAATCGTTTCCTGAACAAATATGTCAGAGAAAATATGGTAACGCTTAGATAACCTCTGAGTAAATTTATTAACAATGCCCTTAAATGACATCCTAAGGGAAAGCGACAAGTTGAGCGTGCGTCCGATTTTTTCTTCAAATTTTATTCCTTTGCGTTCCCAGTGGAACAAATGGCTTCAAGCTAGGGCTGTGACGTTTCGGTAGCAGCAATCTCATTTTTACAGGGTGGGATTGCTAGTCTCAGGCCCAACCTTCCCTCCTTGCCCGCCTTCTTATTAGATAATAGATGTTCAGGAGTGCGTCAGCCGGTGATTGAACCCCAGAACACCTGAAAGCATGACAAGCATTCTCCCTACGCGCTACAGACGTCCGATATTCTCATGAAAAAAAATTTGTATGAGGAGGAAATGTAAACTTGTAGTTCGGCAGTCGTGTAGAGCTCGTTAAAACTGATATCAGAGGATGATAATAATAGTAATAAAGGAAAACTTACATCACACAGAGATTGATTACAGTCTAACTTAATAAAACATCCAGTACCATCAGTAAATTGTATTTCTGCAGATTGTTCAACTTGTGGTACATTAAAAACCACAGTAAATCCAGAATCAACTTTCAACGCTTCAATGGACTGGTCATCTTGAATTCGAAATCAATAAAAGCAAAATCGTTTATTATTACCAAAATATAAAATGAAATTTTTACAAAAAAACATGGAAGATTATTTATAAAAAAATAGAAATCTCTATTGGTCACGCATAACTCAACAACAATATATACTACTAAACGATTGAAATAAGTAGCACCATACCGACCATATCAACCGATGGTGCTTGCTAGTGTCAGTTCCTTATTATCCCCTTGTCATTATTCTTTCGTGTTAAAATTTATACTACTTATTTCTTCTAAGTAGGTTGTAGTTGTGTTTGCTAATTCTTAATCATATTTTTATTTGCTATTAAAGCATAGCTCACTCGGTGTAGTGCTAATGTACTAGATGTATAATAATTATTTTCTTTAGTCGAACATTATTTGCTGTATTGGTGCTTTCTTCGTGTACCGAGTACTGTTGAGCATTGTCTATCTGTATCCCTTTATTCTGTGTCTAGCATTCGTGAACTGTTTAAATAAACGTGGATCGCCTTTGACACGCTCTGCGGGTTTTACTTAGTGACGCACATTAATTGTGCTTTTTGACGGCATCCAACCACAGACACCACAGAATTGAGGTTTGTGTATTGCATTCCACATTAGGAATATCAAAAAAGGTCAAAAGTGAAATTAAAATAGTGGTGAAACTAATAATGATAACATGAATAAGCGAGAATATAAGGCATTCACAGACTTACCATATATTATGAGGGGACATCTGAGGCCCTATGTGGGATCCTCAGTAAAACCGGAGTGAGGGTTGCATTTCAACCTACAAACTCACTCAATCAGAGAGGAAAGCTCTGTAGGCTGAATGATCGTATAGGTTGACCCAATTAGACAAAATAATCTAATTCACAAAATACCCTGCAATGACTGTGAGTTAGGTCAACTACATAGGTCGAACTAGTAGATCGGAGGTAATTAGATTGTCGGAACATAAGAATTTAGCTGAGGTGAGAATGGTTGACCCGAGAGATAAGTAATTTAGAAAAAAGCTTAGCAATTGCACTGCATGCACTAACACACAATTACACAATAGGGTGTGAGATGGTTGAAATTCGAAGAAGTAATATAAGTAGGTGGAGAGAGAGAGAAAGAGTGATTGATTACTGACACCTGGTTCATCGACTCTACACCCAACACAAGCGATAGAAGTGACTCAACACAAGCACCACAGATATGGAAGATATTAGTACCACCAGTCAAACCAGAGGAGGATAATAAATAATCTTAAAATTCTACTTCAATTCAATTCACGTACATATCAACATTCTAACAAGTTAATAATTATGACTATAAAAACACTCATCTTATTTCCCATCTGATTGTATTTGATTGATAACACTCATATTGTTATTTCTGGGGTACATTATCTTATATTGATTTTATTCAAATATCTAATCATCATTTCCATTCATGTATATAAACGAAGCAAGAAAGTTGTGTGAGCACCCTGATATCATTACGAGCAACAATAATTTATGCTCAAAACGTCATCAGTTAATATTACTGTACTGCAACACTGTGTGATTTATCAAAATGAAATCTTATCCAGAATGGAATTATAATTTGTCACAGTACCCAAATTTTATACTCATTTTACATTTTATGTTGAATATAATACCGTATTTTAAACAAATCCAGTTTTTGCAGATTTTACGCGCCACTCAACGTGTGATTTTAATAATCTTTTGATTATCGCTCCGAATTTCTTTTCGAAGAAATGCACAACTAATAATAATAATATTATTAATAATAATAATAATAAATTGAATAAAGCATTAAGAAGACAAATTTGGCGATTTCAGATCAATCACATCGCGATTTTCTATATGATATAGTAGCAATTGTGGAACATCCTATTGATTCTCCAACAACTGCAGGTGAACTTGTAGATACAGTTTGAGAGGAGTAGAGTCCACAGAATTTCGTCCTTTAATCGTAGGTACAGAGATCGAAAATGTTCGGCAAATGAGAAAAAGAGATTCGGCGTAGAATTTGTGCGTTTGATGGCTGACCGAAGTGTCTTTGAGCTAGCTGTCAACTGCATAATCTGGTCACCTTTAAATGGTAAGTTAACAAAGATAGGGTCCTAGTGGCTTAATGGTATACGAGCTCGCCTTTTAACCAGAAGGTCCCGGGTTTGAACCCCAGTGGCTGCGTACTGCTGAAGAGCCCCAAACTAGGACGAAACGGCTGTCCAGTATTCCCCAGAGGTTTTCCAATGGCTCTCTAACCAATGCCAGCTCATGATGAAATCCTGTAACCAATCAGCCAAATCTCTACAAACCAATACTTAAATACCAATGAGATGCTCACTGGCAACTGGCCCTAATCAGTTAGGTAGTTACCTGGGGTTCCAGTGGGAAGTCGTGACCAGTAGAGTGCAGCAGGTCAGGTGTGAGTACGAATACTCGCCGAGGACATTGGCTGGCGGTTGCGCTATATCGTGAATTGACAGAAGTTAGAATTCATGGACTGGCCATTGGATCGGGTCCCAGTGGCTCAATGGTCTATGAGCTATCTCTCCTCGCAACCAGGAAATCCTGGGTTCGATTCGAAGCCTTGTGGGTGCGTACTGATGAAGAGTCCCAAACTAGGACGAAACAGCTGTCCAGTACTCTCATGTTTTCCAATGGTTCTCTAGCGAATGTCAGCTCATGATGAAATCTTGTAACTAATAAAGATAGCTTTCTTTGGTACAGAAGCTGTCTTTTCGAGATGTGGTCTTTCTTTACTGTGACAAGTGATAAAGTTTTCCGGATAACCATTAGCTAATAAAATTGAATGTATATGTCAAAACTCATTCATCAATGTGTCACTCGTGCATATTATTCGGGCCCTTGTCACAGTATAGAAAGACCACATATCCAAAAGACAGCTTCTGTACCAAATAAAGCTATCTTTATTAACCTACCATTCAAAGGCGACCAGATTATGCAGTTAACAGCTACCTCAAAGACACTTCGGTCAGCCACCAAACGCACATTCTACGCCGCATGTCTTTTTCTCACTTCCCGAGCATTTTCGATCCCTATACCTGCACGATTAAAAGACAAAATTCTGTGGACTCTACTTGAAACTGTATCTACAGGTTCACCTGCAGTTGTTGCGGTGACACACACATATACATATAGGTAGAACCAACAGAATGTTCCAATGTCGCAGTAGAAAAGAACATGTTCCAAAATGGCTACTAAATCATATAGAAAATCCCAATCCGATTAATCTGAATAGAAATCGAGCATCATCATCCATTGCAAAACACTTATTAAGGTTAGGTCACAAATCAATATCAAATAATGACTGTTTCACAATTATTTCACATAACTCTAATTCAAGGTCGGTTAGTGAAGGTGATGGAAGCACTTTGGGGGATTAATCACAAACATCCTAAACTGTGTGCATAAAAAACAAGGCGATGGGTGATAATTAACGGAGAAAATTAATACACACAATTAAAAGGTAGAAATGATTCCAACACATGGATTACGTAATGCGTAATTTTGGAAAAAATGATGAGTAATTAAGGAATAAGCGTGTGCTCAAGTAGATTGCGTAATAGATTGTTAAAGAAAATAAAACGATTTGGACAATGGTAACTTGTAAAAAAAGATGAACTAGTTAAAAAACTGATAAAATAATTTAGAAAATTATAAATTTTAAAGGTTTAAGGGGATGGAGTGAAGTAGTCCGGTTTATATGGTCATGTAATGATGGCCAAGGTAAGGAAAGTGGCTGTACACATTTCTTCTGAACACATCCACGAGCTCGGCTTCTTCTTCAGGTAGATTCCTCCTGCTTCAGCTGTAGGTTTGTAGTAGACGAACTCGTGAAGCCAAATTAAGATTAGTAGGAATTTCTCATAAATTCATAAATGCATTCATCTGTACTTGCCTCTAGCTATGAGATGGATAAATTCTATTTCCCGTTATGGATAAAATTGTATTTTGATAAAATCACACACAGTGGTGTTATACAGTAAGTAATATTTACTGATGACATCGTTTTGAGCACAATTTATTGCTACCCATAATCATATCAAAGCACTACGCACACAACTTTTTTCCTTCATTTATATACATGAGTGGAATTCATTAGACAGACATTTGAATAAAATCAACAATATAAGATAAAATACATTCAGAAATATAAATATGAGTGTTATCAATAAAATACAATCAGATGGGAAATAAGACGAGTGTTTTTATGGTCAAAGTAAGTAACTCGTTGGAATGTTATGATATACGTGAACTGAAATAGAATTTCGAGATTATTTATTATCCTCCTCTGATTTGACTGGTAACTTCATCTCCTATATCTCTGGTATTTGCATCGAGTCATTTCTGTTGCATGTAGACTCGATGTACCAGGACTCAGTAAGTAATCAATCTCTCTCTCTCTCTCCACCTAGATAGATTACTTCTTAGAATCTTAACCCTCTCTCACCCGCCCTGTTGTGTGGTTGTGTGTTAATGCATGCAGTGCGATTGCTGAGCTTTTTTCTAAATTACTTATCTTCTTGAGATCAGTTATTCTATTAATATTATTATTGTTCCCTTCGGTTCATAGTGAAACATAGGGCTTCAGCTGCACGTCTCCACTTGCTTCTGTCTACCTTCTGCTGTACTTTTCAACTGCATCCATGTTAGTTAGTCCATACTGTTTCAACTCCTCTCCACACGATCTCCCCAATGTCCTCCCTGCACTGACGTCCCACTCACCGCTTCTCTTTCGGCCTGGTTGCACTCAAGCAATGGCCTGACGCGCGCGGGATGTCACCAACCGGCCCGGCCTCCTCAGCCGCGAGCGTCCAATCCACCTCCAATTTCTCCTGCATATTTGTTGGTTGGCGATTGCGTCTTGTTTTGTTTGCTTCCAGCGATAATTTCTTGTTGGTGATTCTTTCCGGCCCGGCCATCTGATTGATCTTCAGTATAGATCCAGCGAAGACAGTCAGATGTTGATAAAAGTCTGCAACAGGCTGTTGGAAATATTCTTTGTGACCCGCTCGTCAAGTTCCTGATCCGTATAGAAGAACTGACTGACCTGACGTTTGTATTGAAAATCTGACCGAATTTTGTTGTTGATGCTGAGTGACGAAGATTTCCAGAGTGGTTTCAGGTTGATGAATGTGTTTCTCGCCTGCCTTCCCGATTCTCGCTCGATTCGACATCCTCGTCCGTTCCAACTGCCTGTAATTGAGACAATGCTCCCTAGATAAGTGAATGAAGTGACCTCTTTCAAATCCCTGCCGTTGATGGTGATTGTCGCTGGATGTTGGTGCTTCTGTTGTTGTTGTTGGCTGGTTATTTCATAACCTCCGTCTTGTCTATGTTCACTTGGAGTCCTGTCTTCACCGGCTTCTTCTTCAACCAGTTTGTCGGTTTTTACTTGTAAATCTTCGATTTTGTGTGACATTAAGCATAAATCATCCATGCGCAAAATCCAGGTCTTCTAGGGTCTTTACGTCGGTCCAGGATATCCCTGTCTTCTCGTTTCCAACTGCCTGACGCATAATCCAGTCAGTCAACCACAATTAGGAATATCATAGGTGATAATAGGCAGGTAGCTTTGTCTGACTCCTATGTTCACTCCAAACGCCTCGCTGAATTTTCTGTTGTGAATCACTTGACATGTGCCATTGTCGTACAGCTGTTGAATAAGGTCATTCTAACCTTAGCTGAATTCTTATGTTCCGACAATTTCACTACACCTGATCTATTATTTTGACCTATTTAGCTGCCCGAACTCACAATCATTGCAAGGTATTTTGTAAATTACATTATTTTGTCTAATTGGGTCAACCTACACGATCATTTAGCCTACAGAGCTTGTTTATCTTTCATTTATATAAATGAAGCAAGAAAGTTATGTGAGTACCTTGATATGATTATCAACAATGAATTTTACTCGAAACGTAGTTATCAGTAAATATGACTATACAACAAAATGTTATTTTATCAAAATAAAATTTTACACATAATGGAATTATATTATTGAATTGTGGCCCAAGTGGTCTAATGGATAACGCTTTGGCGTTTGAAACTATGGGCACTGGGTTCGAGCCTCGGTGGGGACATCATCACTCACTGAGAAATGCAGGTACATCCAGCTGACGAGTCCCAATTAGGACGAAATGCGCATCCTGGATTCCACTGCTAGCCACCATCCACCAATTGTATGCTAATGGAATTATACTCTACCTAGCACATTGCCAATGATTTATTCTTAAATCCTATTTTCATCCAACCTTACTCAGAGATCAGTAAAAATCATATGCCACTTGAAATTTAATGTAACATGCTAGAATGGACATACTTTTTAATTACCCATGAAGTCGTGATTGAGATATGTACTGAATGTAAACCTTGTTAGACAATTTTGATTCGTTCATTTATGGCTTAATTTTTTGAGGAACTGCAATGCTATACAACTAATCAGATTTGTCTTATTCATGGATTAAATTCCTGAGGTTTTACATATACACCGGGTATTTTGCTTGTTAAAGGTTGTTGTTCTAGTCACCGTTTTCCTTAGTGTGTGACGTCTGCGCCTAATCTCAGTGTTCTGGAGATCATTTCAAGTGGTCATTTGGTTGTAGTGTTGTGCTCTAGTGGAGTCAAGTCAGACCAACCTAATTACGAACATTCCCACTATCACTCCATCATAACACAACAACACTACAAAATGTAATCATTTAAAATGACGAACTAATTAAAATCTAAACTCACATCTTCTTGGAGTGGTGCTTGAATTAATACAAATCATTGGACTGTAGACCTCAGAATACATAGGTGTACGTGATCTAAATAATTTAGGCAAAAAATTTGTATTACAACGATTTCATGATAAGAATTTCATGGATGACCACTGTCAGTCATCTTGATTGTTGTTCGTACTTTTGAATTATAGGAAATATAAACTACGAATAGGGCCTTATTTTTACTGATGGTTACTTGCAGTGGGATTCAGGAAGGCCATTTGTCCTATTTGGAACTTATTGGCTAGATTTATCTTCATTTCCAACCGTAGTGGTTAAAGCTGTGTCATTTGAAACGATGGGCACCGGGTTCAAGATTTGGTGTAAACAACGACATAATTCTCTGGAGAAAAAAGTAGTGTCCGGGTGATGAGGCCCAAATATGACGAAATGCCCATTCTGGATACCATTATTTGCCAACTGCAACGCAAAAGCATCATGTTAGCCTTCAGAAATAATAAAAAAAACGTCCGTATTGAGAGCCAACTTGTCAATCCAGACCAACTATTTTTTATTTTTATTTTGATTTACAGCTTTATTCCAGTCAGGAAAAACTTTGACCCATATAATCTGCGTTTCTAAACTATGCATTTCATCGACTTTAGCTTTGACAGTTCGTGATGTAGAAGACAAAATTTAAAAATCCAACAAATGCCAACGCACCAATAACCTTGTGGCACTCCTCCAAAGCAAAGCAGTGAAGGTTAAGGGTAGGTCAAGCCTAGGGAGAGATTAGGGTTAAATTAACCTTATTACGGAGATTTCAGAATTGGTTCTGAGAGGAATGGAGTTAGATTAAGCATAGTTGGAGGCTATAGACCTGAATTCGCTTTTCAGCACAATTTCTCGTTCTTAGGTTATTGGTGCAGCCGCGCTCCTTTGGTACCTAAAGTTGAACATTACCGATCTCACGACACCAATCGGCTTCTCACACCTTAAGAAGCAGATTTTTTGACAAAATATAACGGACCACTGCACAAAAATGTACCATTTTAAGTTACCATCGTGCGTAAGAGCACATATTTAACTAAAAGACAAATCATGAAACTTCAAAATAAGATGTGTGTGTGAGAGAGAGAACAACCCAATCAAATTTAATGCGTATTTTCAGAATGCAGGTGTCATACACTCCTAAATTACTGTGTAATATCGCTTGTATACCCCAGTCTTTATGGATTCACAGTGATTGCTACCTCTTAAAGTTTATCAGTTGACTTGGTATTTTCCAAGGTCACTCAGAATTTTGTTTACAACTTAAGCCTCTGTAGGTGAAGTCATACTGCTAGGGAATAGGGATGTAAAAGCACCAAGTTGCTCTTTTCAGATGACCAGCATGTCAGATATGTTGTGTCTCTTTTCTGCAGAGGAGGTTTTAGAAAAGTTTAACCCCATGAATTGTACACATCCCGATTTACTTTATGGCGAGATAGGGTTGCTATCCTCATCCTGCTTAACCTTCCCTTTTAACTGGGCTTCCTTACTACTGGCTAGGTGAAGTTCAGGAGTGCGCAGCCAAAGGGTCGAATCTTGGACACATTTCAGTGTGACTGGCAAGCCTTCTACAGCTGAGCTACCAAGGCATTATGTTAAATATATATTATATCATCAAAACTATTATTACTCAAAATTTAACTTACTTAACAGCAACGGAATGATATTTATATAAACTATTAGATAACGGTGAAAACGGTTCATTATCAAAAGAAAATTGAAATTGTTTAAGATCCATATCGCCTAAATCTGGTTCAACGATTCCCTTGATCATATCACAATCAATCTAAATCAAGAAGAATAAGAAAAAAGTAATCAAAACAAATTTAACAAAATGGACGATCTAACGTATTATGCCTTTACCTGATGTAGCCAAGCAGAATTTGGGTGGTTTCGATTAATTCTTCTCTCTAAACTGAGTGAAAATGACGGAAACCAATAATTAGCTCCAAATAAAACATAAGAAACATCTATCCGGTGTTTAGATCAGAAGGCTAGTTTCACACATGCCAGTTTACTACCTTTCTGGCTTAGTAGACGTGATATCCGGCTACGTGTCAACCGAAGGACGTGTGTACTTCTCAGAAGAGCCGTTCTCTGCATCCTCCTTTATGGTTGTGGGACCTGGCCATTGAAAGTGGAAGACATGAAACGTCTAGCCAACTGTCTTTGATCATAGGTGCCTGGGTTCTATCTCCCGTGTGAAGTGGTATATTTAGGTGCGCAATATTGAGGTAAAGCTTCGGTTGAGTGCTAGGTGAGTTGGAAGGGAAATCAATCGGCAAGGTTCTGAAACTACATCGACTCAGATGGTTAGGACATGTGTTACGCATGAATCCCTAGCCATCGCCTTCCTCGACGGGTCAGAGTGGAAAAGAGCTAGCGTTGGTCAAACCAAAACATGGCACCAACCAATGAAATCCAAAACAGTTAGTTTAAGCCAATTATGTAGGGAGTTGTAGACTTCCTGATTGGTTGGGGTCCTCGGAACGGTAAAAACCAGTGAAGACTGGAGACAATTGCTGATATGGCTAGCTCAAAATCGTTCTCAGTGGCGTCCAGCCGACTGGGTCCTATAACCTACAGAGCTTGTCCCTGAGTGAGTTTGTAGGTTTGAATGCCACTCGAATTCCTGCTTTATTAAGAATCTTACGTATGGCCTAAGATGTCCCCTCCTTATTTGGTATCGCAGTAGATGACTTATATTCTCTCTTATTGGTGTTATTATTACTAGTTTCACAATTATTTTTATTTTTGTTTGGCCTTTTTCGATCTTCCTAATGAATTTTAAAGGATAGTTATTTAACACCAAAGTCTCTTTCATCTGTTTTATTTCATCATTTAGGTCATTTTTTGTGCTGCTTAGTGCTACTGCTCGGTTAGTTAGACACTTAATTAAACCTGCCTTAACAGTTAAGGGATGAGACGAATTAAAGTCTAAATATCTATTAGAATGCGTTGGTTTTCTATAAACACTAGTGTGTAGTTTGCCTTCTTCTATTCGTTTTATTTTACAATCTAACATCACAGCTAATTCTCCTTGTTCATTTTCCGATTCAAATGTGAATTTTTATTCCCTCCACTAGTGAGTTTATATGTATCAAGAAGCTAGAGATATGTTCTGTTTTTAACACTGTGAAAGTGTCATCCACATATCTCCACCATATTTTTAGAGTAGGATTAAACGTATTAAGAGCCATATTTTCCCAGCTATCTATAAATATATCTGTTACAATAGAGTATATTGATGATCCATCGCATTGCTACACCTTCTGTTTGTCTATATATTTTTAGCCTTATATCAACGTTTCTTTGAAGGTCAGACGATATATCTGCGAATTGTATCCTCCTACGCAAAGTCTTCTGTGATTGGTTGTTGGGTTAGTCTTTTGTTCTTGTTCTTTTCTCATGACCAATTTTGGGGACCCACACATTGACGTAAATTACTATCTACCGATTTTGGCTTGCCGCTAGCTCTCACCACACTATCATCCAACAAATATGTATAAATTTGAACAAAAAAAGAAGAAATATTGCCGCGCAGAATAATCTGGATCCATTATATTTCGTTGGTCCTCATCATCAGCTGCGTGCAACCTGAATTCTTTAATAAATTTTTTTTAAAAAGTGTACAATTTTAACAAACCTTTGTCCATTAGCAAGCATATTGTCAGAGCGCCATAGTAAAATAAGGCATTGCCATTTTGCAGGGTGTCTAATTCGATGAGGGAAGATCAAAATTTTAAAATTTTGGTGAACATGAGGTCAGATGAGAAGGCGATGATGTAATACAGTGAGCAGAACTCAGAAGATCAAGAAAAATGATCTCTTAAGAGAGTGAAAACGAAAAATAAAACGGGTGGTTGGGGAGTAAAAAGATAAGTTAACAAAATTAGAAAACAAAGAGAGAGTTACTCAGAAGTGAGTCACCAGGGTAATTGATGTCCAACAACAACAACGAATTCTCTTTCGACACATAAATCAGGCTTCAATCGTTTTGTTTGCTATAGCTTCAGCAAACCTGAGAAGACTTGATGTACTTTGTCTGTACCTCTGTAACAAGATACATAGATGTATGTATATATATATATTTCGTAACACTAGACACCCTGTAAATTGCAACGCCTTATTTTACTATGACGCTCTGACAATATGCTTGCTAATGGACAAAATTTTGTTAAAATTGCACACTTCTTTTAAATTTTATTAAAGAATTTAGGCTGTACGCAGCTGCTGATGAGAACTAACGAAATAAAATGAATCCAGATTATTCTGCGCGGCAGTGTTTCTTCTTTTTTTGTTCAAATATGTATAAGGAATCAGCAATGGATTGGACAAGTATGTGCCAGTGAAATTCTCGAATAGAATCAGAATTACAAAACGACGATTCAAGTGTCATCGCTGTGAGAGTGATATGGAGGGGACCGTGTGAGGAAGAGATGAAAGCTTTTGATCAATGGTAGAGTCAGCTCAAAAGGACTACCGAGGTTAGAGTTAAACCGACATGTATCATTCTATTATATAATAAAAATTTATCCTAAAACTATAAGCAATACTATTTAGCCTTTCTTACCAATGGATTTGTAAATTCTAATTCAACTTGCAAATGAATTTTTTTCATCGTTATCAATTTAGTCTCCCCTGTGATTACTGATACTACGTCAGACTGATTGTTTTGGGGACTTTCTGTCACTGTTTGATTTCTTCCGCTGTCATCTAATAATTCACCTGTTTTAGTTGCTGTGTCATTCGTTGGTGTAATTGGCGGCTGAGTATCATTCATTCCTCCAGTGGTTGTTGTTAAATTCTCACCAGTCATCGGTATTCCTTCTGCTGGAGGAGCTGGTACTGGCAGCGGTGGCGTTGATAGTACCGCTGATTCGTCTTCAACTTCTGCTTTATGTATTATTATTTTTGATTGAGATACGGGTTTTTCCGGTATAGATTCACCAGGTGCAAGGCTTTCATTTTCTGTATGAGGTGTTTTATCATCCTGTACTGATGGTTTTTCTGCTGTTTCTGTTGGAGGTGCAGGTGGTGGTGCTGGTGTTGGTGGTGTTGTCAATGTATTGCTGGCATTTTCTGGATTTGTTGTTTGAGTGATTATTTCTTCATCTTCATCATCATCAACAACAAATTCTGTTGTCGTTGTTGTGCTAACAACTGGTTTCTCAGGTTTAGTAAGTAAACTTATATTGATTTTAGAAATAGCAATATCTACAAAACATACAAGAAGTAAACGTTAATAACAACTGAATAAAAGTAGTATAATAATAGTAATAATAATAATAATATTAAAGCTTTATTTCAGATCACTTAACCTCACAAATAAATGACTGACTGACTGACTGGTTTCAACATAGAACTTTTCACCGAGTGCAGCATTTCGAGTCACCGTCTGTGGCGTAGACATGATATCCGACTGGCTGTCGGCCAAAAGGCGGGTGTATTGCTCATCAGTCTGCTCCATCCTCCTCTATGGCTGTGAGATCAGGCCATTGAGAGTGGAAGACATGAAAAGATTAGCTGTCTTCGATCATAGGTGCCTGCGTTCTATCTCCCTTGTTATGTAGTGATATAATAAGGTGAGCAATATTGAGGTTAGGCTTTGGTCGAGTTCTAGGCAAGGAGGGGAAATCAATCGACGAAGTTGTGCAGTTACATAGACTGATATGGTTAGGACATGCGTTACGTATGCCTAGTCATCGCCTTCCTCGATAATGGGCAATGTTAGGTGATATAGGGTCAGGCTGGAAAAACAATAGCGGTGGTCAAACCAATACATGGCACCAGTCATTGAAATCTACAACAGTTAGTTTAAGCCAGCTAGCCACGTAGGAAGGTGTAGACTTCCTGATTGGTGTCCTCGGGACGGTAAAAATCAATGGCTGGGAACAATTGATGATATGGCTCAAAATCATTCTCAATGGCACAGACTTATGATTTCCAATGGAACTATATTGTTCTTCGTTCCATTATGGGTAAATTTTTGTTTTGATAAAGTCTCATACAGTGTTGTTATACAGTAATGTTTACTGATGACCACGTTTCGAGCACAATTTATTACTGCTCATAATCATATCAAGGTACTCACACGACTTTCTAACTTCATTTATATAGTTCCATTATTTTCCATCACTTGATTTGATTGGTAGTAGTATTTTTTCCGTATTTCAGGTATGAGTGATGAATCATTTCCATTACATGTGTTGGGTGTAGACTCGATGAACAAGGATTGAGATTACTGAATTACACCCAACACATGTAATAGGAATGATTCATCACTCATTCATCCCTCGACGAGCTATGTTAGCGGATATAGGGTCAGGCTGGAAAAAAGCTAGCGGCGGTCAAACAAAAACTTGGCATCAGTCAATGAAATCCACAACAGTTAGTTTAAGCCAGCTAGCCACGTAGGAAGGTGTAGACTTCCAGGCTGGGGTCCTCGGGACGGCAAAAATCTATGGTTGGAAACAATTGGTGAACATGGCTCAAAATCGTTCTCAGTGGCGCAGATGCATCCACTCCCTGTGACTTATGATCTTCAATGAAACTGTTTTGTATTTCTTTATTACTCCTTTGTCTCACACCTCTGCTCACTGTTTCTATTATGCTTTTCTTGTACTTTCTTCTCTTGCTTCGCGTGCTACACGGAATGTGGCGACTTGAACTTCCGCACATTTGTGCAAAGTTCTATGTCGAAAACAGACAGAACAGACAGACAGACCTGAAATATGGAAAAAATACTACTACCAATCAAATCAAGTGATGGAAAATAATGGAACTATATAAATGAAGTTAGAAAGTCGTGTGAGTACCTTGATATGATTATGAGCAATAATAAATTGTGCTCGAAACGTGGTCATCAGTAAACATTACTGTATAACAACACTGTATGAGACTTTATCAAAACAAAAATTTACCCATAATGGAATTACACTTTACCACAGTGCACAAGTTTTATTCTTATATCAATTGTTCTTCGTTATTACTATTCCTTTGTCTCATCTCACACCTCTGTTTACTGTCTCTATTATGCATTTCTTCTACTTTTCTCTGTTGCTTTGTGTGGTACAAGGAGGGTGAGTGGCGACTTGAACTGCTGTACATGGTTGCAGAGTCCTATGTCGAAAACAGACAGACTCAGCACATAAAGCCAGAGAAGAAAGTAACAAAAGAAACGCAGTCTGACACAACTTCCCTACTTGGGCGGGCATTGAAGTCGCCTGCTAAAACAACTATGTCTGAACGTTTTGGTTTTTCGCAGCCAATTAAACAGTTTCAGGTAGAAATCATCCTTTAGTGTTCATCCGAACTGCAGTCTGGTGAGGCGTAAGCGGAGACTACGACAAGACAACGACGGGTAACGCCATCCTTCCTTCTTTTTTTAACGGACCCATTCAGATGGACTGCACACATGCGACTATATACTGGGATCCAGTCAAGGGATCGATTTTTTCGCCCTAACACTCAATGCTATACCTGTACCCGCGGGTCCTCGCGAGCTATCTGAGGGGTCTCCTAACACGCTTAAAGTGAATTTTGAAGATTCACCTTGTTGGCCGGGTGAGGTTAAATGAATTACCACACTCAGGTCTTGTATGTATGTCCCCAAAACACAACATACATCCATGGCTCGAGATGCCAGAGTTCTTGTTAGTGATGGCTGTTGTCCAATTCGGCAGAGGATTCTGACGTTGAAAGCTACTATATGAAGTTGACGACATAGCTTTAAGAGGCTGTTAGGGGCGGTGTTTTTATGGCTGTCATCATTGTTTGTGGCACAGAGTGAAGTGAAGATGCCTCATTAACCTGAAGAAGAGTACTAACTCCAGTAGACAAACAAGATGAGGAAGGTGATGTGAGTAAAGGAAAATGATGCTGTCAGATAACTGGCCAGAAAAGATCAACAACAGGGAGGGATCTCTGGCGATGAGCGAACCAACCCAGCAGGAACTGATCGTGCAACAAATATGCAGGAAGAAATGGAGGTGGATTGAGTAGACATACTCTGAGAGAAACAGCCATCAAGTGACTGACATCACACGCCAGGCCATTGCTTGAGTGGAACCCGACAAAATGGGAAGCGGCGAGTTGGTCGTCAGTGAGAGTGCGACATTGAGGATGAGGTGATGTGAAAAAGAGAGGGTAGCATGTAGGTAGACGTGGAGTCAGGTGAAAACGTTGTCAGAAGACCGAACGCAATAGAGACGTGCGACTAGGAACTAAAGGAAACAACAATAATAATTGGTTCTTACTATGTCGGTCACCACAAATGGGAATCTCACACCTCCCTACCTTGCTGGCTTTAACCAACTGTCAAAGATTTTATGGACTGATTTTCTGTTCCAGCGTAACCACCACTTGCTTTCTCTTTTCCAGCCTTATCCATCGTATGTCAGCTAACATTGCCTGTCTTCGAGGAAGGCAATGGCTCAACACGAGTCACACATGCCTTAGACATCTTAATCAGTGTAGCTTCACAGCCTCATCAACAGGTTTTCCCTCTTTACCTAGCACTCGATCAATGCCTCACCTGTACACTGCACACCTTGTTATACCATCTAACACTAGAGATAGAACCCAGACACCTATGATGAAAGACAGCTAACTTTTTCGTGCCTTCTACTTTCGATGGCAGCAATGTCTCACTCACAGCCATAAAGGAGGATGGAGCGAACCGCTGAGCAATACACAAGTCATTTGACCAGTAGTTAATCGGATAACAAATTTACACGAGACGACGCAAGTTCTCAAGTGCAAGACCGATCTTTTGTATCCGTACTGAAATTTCGTCAGCAGCAATCAGTCCGTTGGGGCTGAAGCACCTTCTCAAATAAATGAAGTGATCAACACGCTGCTCTTCAAAGTGTTCAGAAGACTCTGCTCTATTTTGTCAGCATCTTCACCTAGGTGGGAGGACTATATCATCTGCATATTCTAAGTCAACGAAATTATTCCTTGGTGGTAACAAGCCAATCTCTGAATTACTGAAGTCAGTTAGGGTTAAGTTCATTAGTATATCTCCTATCTTGCTTCATGAGTTCAAGTGGAATGCAATGTTTAGGGCGATTTACTTTCTCTACAATCTCCTCATGGTCAAATATTGCCGTAGTGCCTCATGATTGACGAAATCGGATTATATCTTCAAATCAAGAAATATGGTAATCTGTCCATGTTCCATAATCTGGCGAAGGGTAGAAATGTGATAAATACATCCTCTTCTTGGTCTAAAGTCTGCCTGGTTTGCTCGCAGTTTTTCCTCTCAGCCGCCATTTAACCTACTCACGATAATAACCTGCAGTAGATCATGTGACGTAGTGTTATTTAAAATGATCAAAGATCCAATTCTTTACAACATTTACCTTTCATTTCTTCCCATCGCTCTACAGCATTTGAAGGTGGTGATATGGCAGAGCCTAAATACCTGCAGTTAGAATAAGCGCCACTGGGAAACAAATAAAAACGAAGCATTCCTGATGTAATAGTGTACATATATATGAAAAGCAGGTCATTATCATGAATATACAGTTTGGATATGTGTTGAACTTTGAAGCCTAAAGCCAAGCTATGAATATGAAGCAGTATTTACTGTGGTCATAGACGACTAACAAGAACTCTGAAGCCGTTCAGGTAAATTCCTATTCATGTCAAATAGCTAATTAATATATTACTGATGTCATTATGTGCGTCCCTCTGAAATCTGTTGTGTGGTAGTAGCTGTCAGTTAGCCAAAATTGGTAGACAGTAATTGACCTCAATGTTTATGTCCCAATTTTGGCCATGAGAAAAAAACAAGAACAAAAACTAACTCAATAACCAATCACAGCAAACTTTACGTGTGCAAATACGATTCGTAGATATATGGCTTAACTTTCTAAGAAACGACCGCAAAGAGAAGAGAGAATAACCTTGAGCAAGAAAACAACCAATCAGAAGACGCCGTTTCTCCGTTAACAATAACGCTAATAATAATGTACATAAAACTCAATAAATTTCTGTTGATTTTCTCAATATAAACTATCTGTTGACTGTGAGCATCTCATTGGTATTCAAGTACTGGATATAGTCGTGTTCTCTGAGCTGGATAGTTTATTTGCGAAGCTGTCATTACCCCCACCAGGCAACATCTTCAGTGCACACTTTCATTTGTTGAAGTGAGCTTTTAGAGTTTTGTAATTAATAGTGTTCTCTGAGCTGGTTGGTTTAGATGCGGAGCTTTCATCCACCTTCTGGACAACATCTGCAACGCAATATTTAGCATAATTATATTCCAATAGTTTACACAATGATAAGTTTTGGTATTGGTAATATTTCGAGCAAAATTGCTGATATATATCCATATAATATGTGTATTTGTTTGACAATCGGTTATATTTTACTATGTATACATGGATCGATATTCCATTACAATTAGCCAATCATGTTAAGACTGTCTATTGATTTGTTCATTTTGAATATTCGCTCACACATTTGTGTTCACACATTGATTCTCCTTGTGTTTGGAAAATAGAAGTATCATCGCAAATCTAGTGGTCTTCTGATTCCCGTCTTTCTTGCGTCAGGACTATTAAATTCTCGACCAGTACATAACAATAATTTGGCGACGAGTACATAATAATTACTGCCCGTGTTCACACCACTGTTCGAATTGTTTTACTAATATTAACATAAAATTGATGTTTACACATCTTTTAAGCCTATCTATATAACGTGTTTGGGGAAGCGCGTATCCTAAAGTTTGTGGAAGCCCTAGCTGGCAATTAGAAAGTTCAATCCACCTTTATCGGTTCAAAGCAACAATTCGTCATCCCATTAAACTACCTTCCTTTTTGTAAACTTTGTTTTGATACCAGTCAGTCAGGAGAGATGTACTATTACATTTGCTATTTGGTTTAGTGGTCTTCATTGTTATTTTCACCTTTAATATGTCCTTTAAACTTTACCTAAGTAGTCTATTTTCTCACCTCTTACCTCTTTATTAATTTCATATATACCTATTCCTATGACAAATCCGTGGAGTGTGATCAGGTTGTTCGAAATGTGTTGCAAAAACTGAATATAAATAAAACTAAGTAAATAAATTTTTTGAAAAACACTAATCACCAACCAGTTTCTTGTGTTGTCTCTTTAATACCACTCTTAATTTTACAATTGTACTGATGACAGAAATCACTTATTGATTTCATTATTGAAATATTGAATAATTGATATACACTCTCAAAATCCATCCATTTCTAGAAGGATTAAGAAAACAAACAGAAAAAGGAAAAAAGCCAATTAAACAGAAAGAACACAAGATATTCATCGAAGAGACGCTTTTCAACAACGAATTTATTGCATGGAGAATTTTATCATGACCTGACATCAGTTAGAGAACCACTGGAAAACCAACTGGGAGTACTGGATAGCTGTTTCGTCCATAGTCCTGGGTTTGAACCCCGGTAGGGGTGTACTCCTGAAGAGTCCCAAAATGGGACGAAACAGCTGTCCAGTACTCCCCAGCAGGTTTTCCAATGGTTCTTCAACGGATGTCAGCTCATGATGAAATCCTCCATGCAATTAAACAAAATCCCTCCAAAACCAATAATTGAAAACGAATTTATTATCAAGCTGTACAGTCGTATACAAACATATGGTTTTTAAGAAATTATATCCGGTAAAGGGAATTAGGTCAAAGGTGTGAGTACATGTATTTCATGTAGTAGTAGTATGAAATGCGATTAAAATATTTGTGATTATAATCATAGTTGAATGTCAAGTGGCAAACTAATTAATGTCATATATAGAATAATAAATACATAAGGTGTATAGATTTTGGAAAGGGGTATATAATTATAAGATTAGTAGACGAATATAAAATGTTACATAACATAGTGTGAAATTTGATACGATGGAATTCAATATTGTAAAAATAAAAAATATAAAAATTAATAACCGATTTATTGATAGCAACATGAAAGATAAGCAGTCGAAGATTGGTCACCGACTCAGTTCCAAAGAAAACCTTATTCTAGGAACTTGGAATTCAAAGGTAATCAAGCTTCAGATATTCTCGAAAATCAACTCTCTAAATCAGTCAGTAAGACGTTATTTACAAATGACGTTCACTAGCCGCAAGTTGTTCTCTACCTCCGTACGAGAACATATTCCAGCAGCATGGTTTTACAAGGGATAAAGGAAATGTGTGCGAAGCTCTACTCTAAAACACCTCATCGACTTCTGTCACTCGGTCAACCCTGACCATGATTTCAAGGTCATACATGGAATCCATGCAAACTTGTCGCGTTTTCTTCGTTACAAACTTCTAAAGATAGTTGAGGCCTTGGCAGTTCATGACTTTAAGCCAGCCAGACCTTTGTGTACAAAAGAAGTATGTACAATCCCTACTTCTACCTTGGCCGTAGAGGGATAGACATTTATTTATTTTGTTTATTTAGTTATTCTATGTACTTTTCCCTTATTACTACTATTATCATTATTATTACTATTCTCACTCTGAATCATTTCCACTTGACCCACTTGACATTTTATACCCAGAATTATTAATTTGTATGCTTTTTATTTTTACATATTGAATTCTATCGTACCTAATTTCACACCATGTTATTTAACATCCTACAATTATATACTCCATTCCAAAATATATACACCTTATGTATTTATTATTCTATATATGACATTAATTAGTTTGCCACTTGACATTAAACTATGATTATAATTACAAATATTTTAATTGGATTTCATACTACTACTATTATTATTTCATGTATTCACTCACACCTTTGATCTAATTCCCTCACCGGGTATAATTTCTTAAAAAGTCATACATATACGACTGTACAGCTTGATAATAAATTCGTTGTTGAAAAGAGTCTCTTCGCTGAATATTGTGTTCATAATTTATGATCACACGCCTAACCAATGAAATCCTTGGCAGTTCTAGAATAATAAATGAATGTTTTTCATCAGCTATTAATGTCAACGGTAGGCATTCTCGGCAAACAGAATAGAGGATACTAGTCATCATGTGACTAGCTGGGCTTCAAAGACTTTGAAAAAGTCTTCGATTGATAGCATTGACAGAAGAGTAATTTAAAAAAAAAAACCGCTCTCTCAACTCCACAGAGTGTAATGCCACAAAGAAGGTTTAACAATCTTATTCAACAAATTTACACTGGAAAACTCAACCAAGCGAAGGTTAGATACCATCACCGATGATGTTGTTGATGATTATGTATACACTCAACATTATGCACTCGCAACCCTTGGAACTAGGACTGAACACAGGACTTTCATGATAAAAAAGGTCAAGCTCGCTGACCATTTACCCAGTTGGGCCGGAATTAAACTTCGCATGAATTCTAACTTTTATTGATTATTTCGAGATACATAAAGCTGGAGCTCCAGTCAACGTCCTCCTACCCAACTTTCTAGACCTCCCGATTCAGGACTTCTCAGGAGAACTCCAGGCAACTTCGTCTTCCAGATGACGAGTCCCAAACAGGAGGAAATGTGCATCGTCCTGAGTTCCACTTCTATTCACCATCCACTAACCAACTTCTGATTACATGCCCACACGTTGTCGAAGCATCTGCACAAGAAGCTGACATGTCAACTTGAGACGGAGCACTTTGGTCCAATCAATCGACGGGAAAATCTAAAACTGAATTCAATGTTTAACATGACCCGTTGTACAAGAAGTGGCTGTCGTGGCCCAAGTGGTCTAGTGGATAACACCTTGGCGTTTGAAACTATGGGCACTGGGTTCGAGCCCCCGTGGGAACATTGGCATTCACTGAGGAATGCAGGTACATCTAGCCGACGAGTCCCAAGTAGGACGAAATGTGCGTTATCCTGGATTCCACTGCTAGTAACCATCCACCAATTAAGTTACTGGATTGATGTAGTTAATTTCACTTTTAATCAATAACAGACATCAGTTGTGTTTGAGTTAAATCCCAAAGTGATTAATATCAGTTAGAGAGCCTTGATATTGAACATCACAGAGTGTGGGATAGCTGTTCCATTCTAGTTTTGGTACTATTCAACAGTATACACCCATCAACTTAACCCGAGGGTGGACCCTGAAATATACGGTCACCACTGCCATGGCATCTGATGACTCACGAATTTCAGCTCCCACCATGCATATATTGGTTAGAGGATTTTATCATGAGCTGAAACTACTTAGAGAACCATTGGAAAACCAACCAGGTAGTACTGCCCGGTAGATGTTTCGTCCTAGTTTGGGACTCTTCACAGCTCGCGGGCCATTATTCATTAGCCACTGGGAGCAGATCCAATGACCAGTCAGTGCATGAATTCTAACTTCTGCCAATTCATAACATAGCGCAACCACTTAACAATGCCTTCTTCCTTGACTAGTTACTGCCTCACCTTCGACCTGCTGTACCCCACTGGTCACGGCTTCCCACTAGAACCCCAGATTAATTGCCTGGATGAGGCCAGTCGCTAGTGAGCATCAAAGCAATTTTCAAGTATTGATTTTTTTGTAGAGATTCAGTTTGATTAGTTGGAGGATTTCATCATGAGCTGATATTGGTTAGAGAACCATTGGAAAACCAACAAGGGAGTACTGGACGTCTGTTTCGTCCTATTTTGCGACTCTCCATCAGTATGCACCCAACCAATCAAACAAAAAAGTATTCCCTACAAAAATCAATACTTGAAAACTAATCATCTGATGCTCACTAGCCACTGGCCCCATTAAAGCAGTTAACCTGGGGTTCTAATGAGAAGCTCTGACTAGCAGGATACAGCAGGTTGAACGTGAGGCAGTAACTAATCGAAGGAGACATTGTCTAGTATTTTCGCTATGTCATGAATTGGCAGGAGTTGGAATTCATGCACTGACCGGCCATTGGATAGGATTCCAGTGGCTCAATAGTCTACGAGTTCGCTAGCCTCGTAACCAGAAAGTCTAAAGTTCGACCCCCCCCCACGGTGCAGGTGCGTACTGCTGAAGTGGAGTCTCACACTAGGCCGAGGAAACAGCTGCCTAGCATAACCCCCTGACAGGTTTCTCAATGGTTCTCTAACTGGTGTCAGCTCATGATGAAATGCCCCAACCAATAAAACTAAATCCCTACAAAAACCAGTACTTCATAATCCTATGTGTCAGCTAACATTGCTCGATGAGGGAGGCGGTGGTTTGAAATGCACAACAAGTGTCGTATCCATTGATCAGTCGATGTAGGGAACATTTTTAGGATCAATCCAGATGACCTTAGATGATCATTCAACTAAGAAATAGAAAAGTATCAAAGTGTCAAAATTGGTTTCTTGTCAGCGACTCCATCTTTATCACCTTTATCAATCAATAATGTTTTAAAAAAATAATAAAACTTACACTTAAATCAAAATGATCTGTTAATTGATTTTGAATTAAGTCTAATTTCTGATTAGCCCAAATTGAATCACGACATGTTCTCATATATTCGTCTTTCGAATATGTACCACAAACTAAAATATGTAAGAAATAGAAAAGTTTTAAACATATATTCAAAATGATAAACGTATTACATAATCTATTTAGTATCCTTTAAAACAATGATTGTTACACACTGAAGAGTCTTTTTGGTTTACACGTTTTTCTCAATTACACGTATTGCAGAATAATAGCAATACTAATCGTAATAGCTTTATTATAAATGAACACTGTTTATATAATGTAAAGAAATTTCACCAGCGTTTATTGCATGATATTTTCCTCTCGTTCAGGATCTTCAGATGGAATGTTAATTCTTTGAGTATGACCACGGATGGATATCAGTTAGAGAACCATTGAAAACCAGGGAGTAGTACTGAGGAGCTGTTTCACTCTATATCAGGAATCGTCGGCAGTGCGCATCCACCGATTAGGTTTGAATGCACAACCCTTCGGTAACAAGGCAAGCTCGTACACCATCTGTAGAGTACTCAGCTGAAGAGTTCTACAGAAATTTGACGATTTCATTAGATCCTACTTTACCGACCTTTGTTGCTTGTTTCAAATTCATTAAAGGAATGAAATAGCTATCCTGTCAACTGGTCAGAAAAGATAAACAGTAAAGACTCCTGGATACGAGTGAATCAGCAGCGTGAACCAACTGTCCAGCACATATTTTTTTGTTTTATTCCTTGAAACAGTTTACTTGGAAGTTTCGGTAGCAGCACTGTTTTTTTATGGGGTGAGGTTGCCAGCTTTACCTTCACCCTTCCGTCTTTAACGATCTCACTATTGGTCAGACGAGGTTTAGGGATGTGTCGACCGAGAATCGAATCCTAGGCTTTGTGGTTGGCTGGCAACTGTTCAACCAGTGAACCACCAGAATACGCCCATCAAGTGGAACTCAAATGAAAAGCAATAAGTTAGGCATCACTATTAGGGTGACATGGAGGAAATCATGTGTGAAAAAGAAAGCTCAGCTGGAGAGACAGTTGAAATTGACAACAGAGAAGTGAATACCATAAAGACGTTCTGCCAAAGCTTTATTTTCCATTCAGAATTCAAGGAATAAAAGAATATTAACAATTATTATTATTACCATGACTTAGTTTGTAGAGATTTAACTAGTTACAAATTTGATCCAGAGTTGACATCACTTAGAGAGCTAGTGAAAGCCAGGCAGCACTGGATAGCTGTTTCATCCCAGTTTCGGGACTCTTTAGAAGTGGAGAACCCACAACCTTCATGTTATAAGGTTAAGCTATCTGACTATTCAGACACTTGGGCCGGGCTTCAATGACCCATAAAATTCAAACTCCTGTCAATTCTTGATGTATATATACAGCGATATCGCTAGCCAATCCCTTCGGTTAGTATCTCTTCTCGCACTCCACTTGGTGGACCCCACTGGTTACTACTTCTCACTAGAATTCATAAGTCAGTTGGCTGAGTGATCAATAAGCTTGATCTTGTAACCTGAAGTCTTGTGTTCAATCCCTGCAGAATGGGATCATGAGCTCATGCCTATAACGAGTCCCGGACTGAGACGAAACAGTTGTCCATTACTCCATAGTGCCTTTCAACAGTTCCTCATAACTGATATTAATCCGCCATCAAATTTGAAACAATCTTAGTCTGTCTGTCTGTCTGTTTTCGACATAGAACTTTGCACTGATGTGTGGCAGTTCAAGTCGCTCCATGTAGAATACAAAGCAAGAGAAGAAAGTAGAAAAAATGCATAATAGAGAGAGTAAACAGAGGTGTGAGACGAAGGAATAGTAATGGTAATAGTAATAGTAATAATAACATGGACATCAACAGTCGTCATTCCATATAAAGCACAGACGTCAGACGACATCAGAAGAATATTCAATCAGCTCGACATTAGAGTTTTCTTCAAAACATCAGATTCGCACACAGCGAAATAATCTTGTTCGTATAAAAGATCGAATCCCTAAAGATTCTTTATCTAATTGTGTCTATAAAAGAAAATGCCTGCTTGGAATGTGATGCGATATACATCGGACAAACCTCACCGGACAGAAATCAGAATAAGAAGAAATTAACACCGTAGAGCCACCTCTGTTCGACCACCGAGAAATCCGGCTGAACTAGAAAAACTTGAAAAATCATCAGCTAGAGGTCGTCTACACGATATAGAATCAGGCCACAAAATTGATTTTGACAATACTGAAATAATCATCCAGAAAAAACATTTCAGAAATCACAAAGAATGTCTAATATCATCAGAAGCACTTCATATCATCAAGTGGAATCCAAATTTTCTGAATAGGAATGATGGACTAAAACAGAATTCGACCTGGTTACAACACCCACCCACCAACTCCCCCATGAAGTGACAAAATCAACACGAATGTGATACGAAAGTTCACTATGTAAACACACAGTGCTTTCGTAATTTTACACACTTATCCAACAATCTTCACTTGGTTTTGTTATCTTTTCCAGTTGACCAACTTGACAACGAAAAATGATCTCATACTGAGGAACGATGATCAAGTTAGTAAACTTTGTTTTGATACCAGTTAGGGCAGATGTACTATTACCTTTATTATTTGGTTTAGTGATCTTCATTGTTATTTTGACTTTCAATATATCTTCCTTTAAACTTGACTTAACTTGTCTATTTTCTCACCTCTTAACACTTTGTTATGTATATCCTGAGAATTTGTGAATTCCGGTTTAATAATACCACTTTGATAAAGTTATTAGCATTAAATAGCGAAACGTCAGTAAACGCAACAGCAATATCGTTTTGTTTTTCATTCATTAGGAAATACAAAAACTTTTATTATAGTAATAATAGGAACAGTAATCGATAGCTGGATACCACGTCTGCTGAGTCAGAGACGGCGTAAACTGACATATGCGAAACTAGCCCTCTGTATCCACGCTGAGATTTCGTCAGAGATCAACCCGTTGGCATTGGCTGATGGTATTTCCCAGATAATTGAAGCAGTCAACGTGCTCTATCACTTCACAAACTTAGTAATAAGATTTAATAATAGCCAACCAGTTAACAAATCAACTTACTTGGAACAAATGGATTAATCGCACTAAAATCGAAACGAATTGTAGCCGTGGATAAATCATTTCTGTCAACATGAAATGGATGATCACGAATAAATTGATAAGCAATTGAATGTGACTCAACAAAAGTGATATGATGTAACTTCAACGAAGATGTTTTCGTTTCTTTCCATTTGATAACACATGAAAATTGTGAGTGCTATTCATTATTATTATCATTATTATTTTGAAATAGAAGGGAGATGGGAAAAAAGAGATTGAAAATGTTTATTTTTGTACGAAACTAATAATTAATGGAATTTAAAAATTTAGAATTAACTATAAAATATGGAAATATAAAATGAGAATGGTTTATTAATATTGATCATATCTTATTCGTCCACTAGATGACTGTAAACCATAGTAACCAAAAAGAGAGCTAACTGAAGAACACCTTGACAAATCCGTCTATCGAACAATCAGATCAGCCCGAAGTAAATGTGCGTGATTTGAAAAAATCCTTTACATCCAAGTAATGTAATTATGTATATCTGTTATATCACCTCCCCTTTTGAGAAGATTGATGATTAGTAGGATGTTTACCTGGGGGTTTATCTGGAACCTTTGAGCTTGTTGTTGACGTCTGTCGTTTCGTCTGCCTGTTGGGTTTGCGGCTTCGGCTTCGTCCGGAATTGTCTAACATTTTATGCTTCTTGACTGCATTGCATAGCGAATTTAGTGGGACATCAGCCAGATGCAAACGATCGAACCAATCAAGTCCCAAAAGATTTAAATCACTCTTGGTGACGTAGCAAATTCCTGTGAATTTGGTATTGCGGAAGGAAACAGAACATTTGAGTTCACCAATTAGTTTGAGCCGCCCACCACAGGCGCTGACAGAGTCTGGAAGTATTTGCGATTGGTGGTCTGCCAATATTATTCCAAAGTTTCTCTGATATAACAGTAATATCAGAGGCGGTATCTAGCTGCAGACGTGTATCATGACCATTCATCTGAAGATCAAGATATTTCCGCATACCTGGTGTTGTGACTTGACAGGTTGCGCGTAGACTCAATGACTTTTTGGGATTTAGGACCAACAGTTTGTCGAGCTTTTGCTGGATTATGATATCTGGGTTTGCGTGGCTGACAAAAACCATTTTTATGACCGATGATTTTGCACTTGCTGCAACGATGATTTTTGTACGGACAAGACTTTACAAAGTGCCACGCGCCACAATGCCAGCATGGTGATGGTGGGGTCTTCTTTGCAGTATTTTGTGAAGTTGGACGAGTATGTGTAGATTTCCGCGGAACATTAGAAGAAGAGTGGGTCAGGAGTAGATGATGAGAGATTTTTGCTCTTTCGTAATGCATGAATATCAGAGCTTCTCGAAGGTGTTGATTCGACCAGGTGTGTGTCTTTCTGCAAATTAATCAGCCGTTGATATTCATCAGCTATGTCATGTAATGTTAACTTAGGATTTTGTTCTAGCTGATTGAGCAGTCGAGTTCGGATATCTGTGAAACGAGGAGATTGAAGACTGCATATGAGAATCAAGGCTTTGAATTGATCATCTGTTAAGGACCTGAGTCGAAATCTCTCACATTCTCGGTTGACTGTGCCAACGTGAGTAAGAAAATCATCATTTTCATTCATTGTCAGCTTGAGGCAACGATAACGTATGCTGAATAATGAGGAGTGGTCTCCAAAATGTTCACGCAGCAGCTTTATTGTATCATCGAAACACTTGTCACGTGGTTTCTGGGGTAAAATTAGGTTGCAGTACCGTTCATATTCTGCCGGACCCAATTTACGTAACAACACTCGCACCTTCCAGGCATCGTCTTGTGAGGCGAGATCAACAGTGAATAAATCCTCATAACGTTGATACCATGTGTCAAAAGTGACATTAGCCTCTGGGTCATAATTGAACTGTGAAATACTGTTCACAATTCCGTCGACAGATGGTAGCATGGTATGATTGGGATTGCTTGAAGGTGAAGCTGGACCAGTCTGTTGGTTGACGAACATTTCCATTAATTTCATTTGTCGTTCAAACAATAATTCCAATTTAGAAGGATCCATAGTAAATTGTTATGTTGCTGCTGCTGAGTGGTTAATAGTAGTTTTCCCCGTCGCCAAATTGTTATGTACTCGTCGCTAAATTATTGTTATGGACTGGTCGAGAATTTAATAGTCCTGACGCAAGAAGGCGGAAATCAGAAGACCACTAGGTTTGCGATGATACTTCTATTTCCAAACACAAGGAGAATGCAAAAGTGGTATCACACCAAAGTGGTAAGTAAGTCAGTCACACAAATTGTGAGAACGAAAATATATATATATATATATATATATATATATATATATATATATATATATATATATATATATATAGCAAAATATAGCGGACATGTCAACAACCACCATATATGGATATATGTCACCAAGCAACGGACTGTCAACAAACACTCATATTATATATAATATAAGGGGAATATACATTGTTAAAGGAGACAGGTTCATACAAGTGAAATGGTTACAGACTAAGCGAGCAAACAGAAAGAGAGGCCAACATACACACACATGTATATATATATATATATATATATATATATATATATATATATAAATGGATACATATCAATATGCAAACCAAGTTCACTTTTAACAGTATGAACAAATTTGGGCATTGCGTATACGATATTCATTATAATAAAGGTTCTCTTTGTATTTCCCAATCAATGAAAAACAAAACGATATTGTTGAATTTATTGACGTTTAGCTATTTAACGCTGCTGCTAACAGCTTTATCAAAGTAGCAATATTAAACCAGAATTTATAAAATCTCAGCATATACGTAACAAAGAGTTAAAGGGTGAGAAAATAAACAATTTAGGTCAATTTAAAAGGAAATATTGAAAGTCAAAATAACAATGAAGATCACTAAACCAAATAACAAAGGTAATAGTACATCTGCCCTAGCTGGTATCAAAACAAAGTTTACTAACTTGATCATCGTTCCTCAGCATGAGATTATTTTTCCTTGTCAAGTTGGGCAATTGGTGAAGATAACAAAATCAAGTGTAGATTGTTTGATTTCATCAGTGTGTGAAATTATAAAACTAGCATGTGTTTACATAGTGAACTTCCTTATCAAATTCGTGTTGATTTGGTCACTTCATGGGGGAGAGGGGAGTGTGTTGTAACCAGGTCGAATTCTGTTTTAGTCCATCATTCCTACTCAGACAATTTGCATTGATTTTGATGATATGAGGTGGTTCTGATGATATCAGACATTCTTTGTGATTTCTGAAATGCTTTTTCTAGATGTTGATTTCAATATTGTCAAAATCAATTTTGTGGTCTGATTCTGTTGCGTAGAGTGTCGACGACCTCTAGCTGATGATTTTTAAGCTTTTTTTGCTGGATTTCTCGGTGGTCGAACAGAGGCGGCTCTACAGTGTTAAATTTCTTCTGATTTTGATTTCTCACTGGCGATGTTTGTCCGATGTATATCGCATCACATTCCAACCAAGCATTTTACTTTACAGACACAGTTAGATAGAGGATCTTTAGGGATTTGATCTTTTATATGGACAGGGTTACTTTTTAGTGTGTTTGTGTCTGATGTTTTGAAGAAACCTCTAATGTCGATCTGATTGAGTACTCTTCGGATATCATCTGACGTCTGTGCTCTATATGGAATGACGACTGTCGAGGTCCATGTTTTCGGAATACTTTTTCGACCACACTTAATGTCAGTTTTGATTTTGTTACAACACACACACCCCTCCCCCATGAAGCGACCAAATCAACACGAATTTGATAAGGAAGTTCACTATGTAAACACATGCTAGTTTTATAATTTCACACACTGATGAAATCAAACAATCTACACTTGATTTTGTTATCTTCACCAATTGCCCAACTTGACAAGGAAAAATAATCTCATGCTGAGGAACGATGATCAAGTTAGTAAACTTTGTTTTGATACCAGCTAGGGCAGATGTACTATTACCTTTGTTATTTGGTTTAGTGATCTTCATTGTTATTTTGACTTTCAATATTTCCTTTTAAATTGACCTAAATTGTTTATTTTCTCACCCTTTAACTCTTTGTTACGTATATGCTGAGATTTTATAAATTCTGGTTTAATATTGCTACTTTGTTAAAGCTACTAGCAACAGCATTATATAGAGAAACGTCAGTAAACGCAACAATATCGTTTTATTTGTCGTTCATTGGGAAATACAAAAATTTCTATTATAATCAAGTAATTCAATGTTAAAAAATAGTTTTAGGAAGGCATAACATTGTATATATTCCAAGAAAACCTCCCAATTACTCATAATATGGTGACAGCAGAGTCCTCATAGTTAGTTTCAACCTAATTTCTGTACATAAATTCAATGAGATAACTGTAATTCATCGGGTTTATTATACAAAGGTGATATGATCATGAGCAATGATAAATTGTGTTCGAATCGTGGTCATCAGTAAATATGACTGTATAACAACACTGTGTGACTTTATCAAGATAAAATTATAACCATAATGGAATTATACTCAACCCAACTCCCCAAGTTTTATTTTATTTCTAATCGGTCCAATCAATCAACGGGAAAATCTAAAATCCAATTAAATAATAATTAATATGACCCGTTGCACAAGAGATGGCTCTCATGGCTCAAGTGGTCTAGTGGATAACGCGCTTTGGCGTTTGAAACTATGGGCACTGGGTTCGAGCCTCGGTGGGAACATCATCACTGACTCACTGGGGAATGCAGGTTCACCCTGATGACGAGTCCCAAATAGGACGAAATGCGCGTTATCCTGGATTCTGCTGCTAGTCACCATAATGAATATAGATTCCGTTATAAGTTTCTCTTTCCGATTTGTTCATATTAGTTTTTAGAATACAAACATTGTCTCAATCGATATTGTGGTTTTTGTCATATACATGTGCAGCTATAGATGAATTTTTTTCTAAATTCTTGTAAGTTCGTGTTCTTGTTGACTGACCTTCAATTAAGCGTTTATGTTCATTCACTTTTATTTTCAGTGATCTGGACGTGTTTGAACCACATATTTAGTCGGACAGTCAGTACAAGATATCTGTTTGTAAATCACATTGTGTTTTTTTTATCCATCATTTTTACCGGATCTTTCAGTTGATTTGTTTTATTTTTAAGCAGATTCGTTGGTTTAAATGT